ACCTGAGAGCACAGACGCACTGGCACCTAGAGCAGCAGCCTCACGAGTACCTGACGCAGCAGTACCAATGCCCGGGTCGGGCGGGAAACACCGGTAACAGTCATCCTCATCACTACCAGTCACAACATACATAGCAGAAAGAATAGCATCAAAGTCAAGATCATAAATAGCTACACCAGCCCGAGACAGCTCCCCCCAGCAGGGGATCTCAGCGGCCTCCGGAATCTGCTGACGCCAGGCGTCGGTCAGGCGGCCAAAGCAGCGGCGGGCTGTGTGGGTGCCTCCACACCTCTCCCCCGCACGGTCGCCGGTGCGAAGAACGTAGGGGCAGGGACCAAACGCACCACCACGCTGACGCTGCAAGTACCACTCACGGAGCTGCTGAGGGGCGGGGACGGTGCGAGAGCGCTGCTGCTGCTGTGGCTGTTGCTGCTGCTGCTGCTGCTGGCGCTGACCACCCCCAGAGCTGCTCCGCTGAGACGAGCCACCCCGACCCCCGCCGCCACCGCCACCCCCGCCTCCACCGCCACCCCCGTCTCCACCGCCACCGCCCCCACCGGCACCCTCACCCCCGCCTCCTCCGCTACCTCCTTCGCCGCCACCTCCGCCTCCACCGCCTCCACCAGTACCTCCACTCCCGCCACCACCTCCACCGCCACCCCCACTCCCCCCGCCACCCCCACCTCCCCCGCCACCGCCCCCTCTAGATCCACCCGCTCCCTTGCCCCCTTTGCCCTTGCCATTGCGGCGTCTACCGCTGGGGGCAGACGCCACACCGACCGACTCAAAACCAGCGAGGTCGGCCGCAGCGGCAGAGGCGACAGAGGGCAGCAGGGGGGAAGGAGAACACCCCTCAAAAATGGGGGTGCGAGGGTCACCCCGAGAGGCCCCTACAGCGACGATGCTCTTCTCAGCCGCTAGCAGGGACTCCTCAAGGAGGTCGACAGTGAGGGTGGTGGGACAGACAGAGAGAAACTAGTCCCTAACTACACGAAGGGACTCAGGGAGACGAGTGACGAGAAAGTAGAGAGTGATGTACATGGGAGGAGGGTTTGCGGCGCGGAACTCAGCAGGAAGGGCAGCGCGGTAGCGAGCGTCACTAGCGCGGAGGTGGGTAACGAGGTCAGCAATAGTGGGAAAGGCAGCGAGGTCAGGGAAGAGAAACGGTAGCATGAGGCGGCTAAGCGTAGCGGAGGAAGGGGAGGAGTAGCGTGCAACTACAGCGTCGTACAAGGCCTGAGCGGTCTTGCACTGACTAAAGTGGGCACGCTCGGAGGAAGGGAGGTGGCGACGCACAGCAAGACGTGCAGCAGCATCGCGGGTCGCCCACTTGGAGCGAACGGCGGGGTCAGCATCAGCAGGAGGGGCAGGGACAGCGCCAGAGACAAAGTCAAAGAGAGAGACCTCATCTATCGCATCACACAGTAAGTACAGCTGCAGGTCCTCAATCCAGACTGCAAAGTCAATGGCTCTACCCTCAGCGTCAAAAGCTAGGACCGTGGGGGTGGCCATGACAGCAGCTGACAGTCTCACCGGGCAGGAAAAGTCGGGTAGGTCAGCGGCACAGGAACACAGCCCAGGAGCAGCAGTGGTCCCACAGGAGCAGGAGCGCGGCTCCTCTGGCGGCTCGGGCGGCTCGGGCGGCTCGGGCAGCTCGGGCGGCTCGCGCGGCTCGGGTGACGCAGGGGCTCACGGGCGGCGCGGGCGGCTGCACGGGCGGCTGGGGCTGCTCACGGGCGGCACGGTGGGCGGCTGCACGGGCGGCTGCACGGTGGCGCGGCGGGCTGCAGCACGAGCGGCGGGGCAGACGGCGGGCCGTAGCGGGGCTGTAGCGGGGCCGACGGCGGGCCGACGGCGGGCTGTAGCAGGGCCGGCGGCGGGCTGTAGCGGGGCCGACAGCGGGGTGTAGCGGGGCCGACGGCGGGCCGACGGCGGGCTGTAGCAGGGCCGGCGGCGGGCTGTAGTGGGGCCGACGGCGGGCGGTAGCGGGGCCGACGGCGGGCTGTAGCAGGGCCGACGGCGGGCTGTAGCGGGGGCGACGGCGGGCTGTAGCGAGGGCGACGGCGGGCCGACGGGGTCTAGGCGGGGCCGACGAGGGGCCGTAGCGGGGCCTAGGCGGGCCGACGGGGCCTAAGCGGGGCCGACGCGGGGGCGTAGCGGGACCTAAGCGGGGCCGACGAGGCCTAAACGGGGCCGACGCGGGGCCGTAGCGAGGCCTAAGCGGGGCCGACGAGGCCTAAGCGGGGCCGACAGGGCCTAAGCGGGGCCGACGAGGGGCCGTAGCGGGGCCTAAGCGGGGCCGACTGGGCCTTAGCGGGGCCGACTCGAGGTCGTAGCGGGGCCGACGGGGCCTACGCGGGAGCACGGCGGTAAGGGCGACACGGAGGGTCGCTAAAAAAAGAAAACGCGCGCCTCGGGGCGCGCTTCGGTAGGCCCTAGGAACAGTCCCTAGGAAGGGACCTGCTCTGATTCCATGAGAAAATATGAACGAGAAAATGGAATGACTATGAACGAAGTCAGTACAAATAGGAAACCCTAATTTGGGTTGTACCCCCTATGGGATACCCCACTATAGCCTACAGAAACAAGTAAGCTATATGTTCTGACCCAACACAAGTGCAGCCACATGACCCGGCAGAAGAAAACGCTCGAAACGAGCGCTTCCAGCCTCATAACGCGGAAGGATCCGCACATGTGCATGAATTGCAGCGCGCACTGTTCATTCGCAAGCGCCGATGACCGAAAATGCTCGCAACCCTCACACGCCCTTGCTGGCTTGGCAGTAGGCCCAGACAAATGGAGCCACATGACCCGGCGGAAGAAAAACGCTTGGAACGAGCGCTTCCAATCCCGAAACGCGGAAGGTAACGGTGTCTAATGGTAACGCTTACATTATTGTAATGGTGTGTTATGATAACGTGTACATTATGGTAACTGGTGAGTTATGGTAACCGGTACATTGTTGTAACTGGTGCGCTGTGGTAGGGCATTGTGGGTGGGCATAGCTGGCATTGCGCATATATCTGATTGTTACCGGAATGTAGTCGAGCCGCATAGAACTACTAGCATGGATGAGTCTGCTGCGTTTTATAGGGCAATAAGACCTAGTTGATTCAAGCATGGCAACCCCAAACTTCAAGGCATGCCATGCTCAAAAGATTGATTCGGTACACTATATTGCTAACATCGTGCTTCTTTATCTAAGTGATGCAAAATTGATTCGTTATACAGCATGCCAAAGTTGTTTATCTAGTCGTTTTGCTTTGACCCTTCATTTTCTACAGTTCCCCAATATTACATTTATCTTGGAGGTGACCACCAGTCAGGCAGGCAACCACGCGGTACTGTCTATGTGCGGTAGTTCCGAGGGTTCGTTTTGGCGACCAGGTTGTTCCTGCTAGTTCAAGCCCTGCTTGTTCTCATCTCTGGTAGGGTTGTATATACCTTTCCAAGCTGAAGGCCCACTGTCGCTAGAAGGCACGAGGTGATGCGTGTCGTTGGGCTTTTCCTCACATCGCATCGTCGTGATTCCTGCGAAGTAGTTAGCATGCTGTCGGGCATGCGTCATTTCAAAATTTGCATCTAGACCCGAATTGCCAGCCACGATGGCATCTGCACCTGCTATGGCGCCGGCTTGGACGTCACGTGGACCGTCGATGTATCAGCACCTACGCTGCTCTTCCAACGTGCTGCTAGGCGTCATTACCACCATGCTTCTGCAGCATCTTGCGTACCGGTTCTCAGCGCCGTTCCTTCGCGAGGCTTCATCAGGCGTCGGCGGCACTGCCATGGTGAACTGCAACACACTGACCATTCATCAATTCACTACATACCAGTCGCGCATGTTGCATATCTAGTATCATCCAATAAATTAATTATCTCCCTTTTTCCAGGCAGGCATTGCAGAGCAGTCACGAACTGACAACAGCAAAGGAGTGAAGCAAGTTGGTGTCCGAGCTCCTACGGGCTCTACGCCAGCCGATCTTTCGCGCGCCAATGTGATTCTCTCGGATCTCCGCACTAAGCTTGATGCATTGGCAAGAAGACTTCCCACACTGTAAGGTTTTGTCCAACTTCAGCTTCTGCAAGGCTTTCCTCCGTTACTGCTAATTTCCTATCCAGGCTGTTATGGATTTCCACAATTTGTTGGTTAATTTGAAGTGTACCGTCCTCTCATCGCACCGCATTTTCAGATCTGCGGACGACGCTGATTTCGAGGCCATTGGGCACCCAGAGCCAGAAGGACTGCATCTCGCTGCTCACCCTTTTGTCGACGCTCTTCCGCTTCCGGAGGAGACCGTGATTCGCCGGGACGAGCCTCCCATTTACCAGCACCTACGCGAGCAGAACAGCCTGCAGAGGCAAACGCAAACGGCGGACAGCGCTGCTCCAAACGCTGCGGTAACAGACGGCAGGGTAGTGCGTGATCCGGTGACTGACGGCGCTGAGGACGCTGAAGTTGCAGATCAGGCTGGCGGTGCTGCCGGGAACCCGGATTTTCTCACAACGCTCTCGACGGATCAAGCATTGTCTGGTGACATTTCTAGGCAGCTTCTGAGCGATGCCTCGGCGAACATGACGGTCGAAACATCTGGTCTGCCTGCTTCTCGGAGAGTGCCGACCTCTCCCAAGTATTTTCTCTCTGCCATGGTGTACAATCGCGTCTTCCGCGGCGACCGTCTCAATTTCTCATCTTTTGAAATCTGGCAGGTTAGCCTCCGCACATGCTCTTCCTATAATATCTCGTACACTCCTCTTCACTTCCCTTACGACTTCCCCCCTCCCCTCCCCCCTCTTCCTCCCCATCCCCACACCCGCTGTTGATACCGTTTTTTCAAATACCCCCCTGGATATGCTCGCCGTCCTGACTTGCTGGCTTCACATCTCCATAGTCATCGCCGTCGTTGCACTGGCACCTTCATTCTCTCACGACCTTATCCCTTCGGTGTGGTTTGCTGGTCTGGTGTGGTGTGAATGGGTTGTGTTCGGTGACTGGCTGAATGATTCCTGGCGTGAAATGCATGCTTGGTGTTGTCGTCGTGCAGTGGGTGGCCTTCACCCGGCTGGCCGGCGTGGAGCACGTCTTCTGGTACGACTGCGCGCACGACGCTTCGGAACGCCAGGCGGAAGCCCTCGGGCCCTTCATCCGCGCGGGCTACGTCACCTACCTCCCGCTGCACCGCATTCTCAGCGCCGCGTACAACGTCTTTCCCGAGCAGAACGGCGCGATACTGCACTACCTCAAGGAGTATCGCAACGCGTCCACATGGGTGGTCTTCTGCGACGTCGACGAGTTCGTTTTCGACCCTCGGGACCTCCGCGCGGGCTTCCTCTACCGCTTCATGCGCAACGTCTCGCTCGCGGATCCCTCCGTCACCCAGGTACGCGTCTTGCGCGTGGCCGATTGCGTCATGCGTGAATTTGTTTCGTTATTGAGCTGTGCCTTCGCGTGTCTGTTCCCGTCTGTCTACCCGGCTCCCCTCGCATCCGATGTTCCGACCCTTAACCCGTCTTCAACTCTGCCCCATTTCAACCGTTTTGATCCCATTTTCAGGTTCTCGCGCCAAACATTTTCTTTGTAGGCAACAGCGAAGCCCCTCGCTCCTCCCTGCTCTTCCGCCGCTTTATTAAGTGCCAGCACTTAGCGAACTGGCGGCAGCACCTGCAGCGCTCCAAGCCCATCGTGCGCGTGGAGGCGGTGGAGCAGTGGGCGGACATGCGCGTGGCTCCGCACTTCTTCCCCATGGCCGTGGGCGCAACTGAGCGCGCGGACCCCGCTCACCTGCGCATGCACCACTATTGGGGTCCGAGGGGGACAGGGTTTGGAGCAGAGACGACGGAGTTTGCGAAAGAAGTGGAGAAGGATTCAACCATTCAGGTGAGAAGGAGATCACAGTATGTTTCAGAAGATTTATCGGTTCTCGTCCGTTGCCCCATCACCTCTTCCCAATGCTTGTTCCCAATGCTTGTTCCCAATGCTTCCCATCAGTTCTCTCACATCTGTTCGCTGTCTCTTGGTTCTTTGGTTGCTTTATTAACTCAATGTGTGGCCTGGGCTTGGACGCTTGCTGGGTGCCTGCTTTGTGCTGGTGCCTGCTCTGTGCTGGTGCCTGCTGCTCTTGTGTCTTTCTGGTTTGTTCCTGTTGCATGCTTGGTGCTTGCATGGTGCGTGCTCGGTGTGTGCTCGGTGCCTGCATGTTCGTGCTTGGTGCTTGTGTGCTGCAGCCTTTAGAGCTGCCTCTCACTCGAATGTTGGACCCGGGCTTGCCGTATCTCACCTACCTGGAGGCGAAGCGAAGGATCCTGGAAGCAGCGGACAGTGCCATGCGGCTCTCGTACACCCTTGCTGACCCGTTTGAATGGCGTTGACTCCGCTTCTCTGCCTTTAACTCGACTTCATTTGATGTGGACTTGGCTTCGCTGCTGCTGACCTGGCTTCAGTGGCGCTTGGCTTCGCTGACCTGGCGTGAAATCGGCTGACCTCAGCTCTTGACCCCCATGGACTCACCATCACCATCCCCAGCTCCGCGCTTCTGATGTCACAGGTCAGTGACATTCTGGTTCACCTCGTCTCGTCCTCGTCCAAGGCTCCTTTCTTTCTGGGTGCGGCGTTAACATGTTCTTCCGTTCGGTTGAGTCATTTGCCAGTGATGCTCATTTTCCGTAAACTCCTGAGCGTGCCTGTGATTGCACACATCACCGAACTTCAACTCTACTGAGGCAAATTATTCCTTCTCGAGCCCCCTCTTCTTTTTACGAGTCCAAATATCTGTGACATGTCTCTGTGTTGCTGCTTGAAACAGCAGCCTGTGCGTTTCAGTTCAGGCACGTCTTGCTCCCGGTGCCGTGCCTGCTGTAAGTGAGTCGGAATTCAATGTGGTCGATAGGAGCAGCATGATGATCAACCTCATAGACCTGTGCTGATTCACAGTGATGAGTACTCACATGCACTACCAGCTGACTGCTCCGGTCACCACTCTTGTTTGCCAATGGGCCGTCTGGTCCTGTGTTTGTCCCTCTGTTTTGAGTCTTTCATTGTTGTCTTCGACTGCAGCTGTTCGATTACTCAGTCCACTGCTGTTCGTCAAGTCGTACTTTTGCACCTCAGTGCTTGTGTTTTGAGGTGTCTCAAAACACCTCAATCCTGGTTTTTTTCTTCACCTTTGCAACTCGTAAGATTTCCCCACAGCTCGGTCCAGCCATATTGCCAGTGATGCTCTTATTTCCGTAAACTCCTGAGCACGCCTATGATTGCACACAATCACCGAACTTCAACTCTGTCTGAGGCAATGGATTCTTCTTCGATTTTTAAGCCTTTAGTTTTCCTGATTCTATGCAGCATCGTTCATCTTGCCATGGGTCAGAGCAGCATGATGATCAAACTCATAGACCTGTGCTGATACACACTGAGGAATACTCACATGCACTACCAGCTGACTGCTCTCTTCACCAAACCCTGCTTTTTTGTGCGCTACAAAATGTGGTTCCCTTAATATGCTTGCTTCTTTTTAACCTTTGCTATTTTGGCTGGAACTATCAGTCTCACAGAGTCACTTGCCGGTGATGTGAAACGTGTTCCAATTCATGAGCCTGTCTCTGATTTACCAAACATTATCACCATCTTTCGACTGAGGCAAGTTTCTACTTTGTTGGTGTTCCAGCTCTTTGGCATGATTGTCATTTCCGTCCACACTTGTATTTGATGTCTGCTTCTTAGACTAATCTGACATTTTCTTGTTTTTCCTGATAGATACATTCAGCCATTTGCCATTGATGCAGAATTGTCCAATCATGAGCCTGTCTTTGATTCTAAATCCAATCACCATCTTTCGACTGAGGCAAATGCTCAAATTCAACTCATTGGATTCTGACCTACACGTGTCTGAGCAGAGTGATGATCAAACTCATAGACCTGTGCTGATACACAATGAAGAGTACTCACATGCACTACCAGCTGACTGCTCCATTCTCTATGCCCTGCCTGTTTTCTTTCAACCCTGATTCATGCTGTTGTTTCATTTTGTGTGTGGTCGCTGTGAGTAAACTCAGATCCCTTACCAATTTGTGAGCTTGCTCTCAATGCATGCTTGCCCTTGGGGGTCTGTAGAGCAACATGGCCTTCAAGGCTGTGTGCGTGGCTTATCGTTTCAGGCAGCTATGGCTGTTTCAGTCACAAGTTAGCTACTTGATTGTGTCCTTGCAACATTTTTAGTTTTATTGCTTAACCAATGTAGTCATCTTTTTCCCTTACATGTGCAGGTGCTGGGAAGTACTTTCTGCAAGATGGATGTCTGTTTGATTTTAGCAATTAGGTGTAGTGCAGGTGGATGCACCTGTTTATGAAGTTCATGGAAATTCAAATCTGTGTTTGGCATGTACAATGATTTGGCACACGCTCATTTCTGAAAGTATATATATTCAATAATCAGGATATGTATTACATTCTGTCACTAACTTACAGACATATAGGGTAATCTATAATTGAGAATGTGAAAACAATTTATGTACACCACGCGGTGCCCCCCCTGAATGTCACGTTTATACACTACAAACCTTAGTTGGTGTTTTTAATTAATAATAATGTCACAGTTTCGACTGACACAGAGGAAAATGAGGGAATATCGAACTTGCCAATGCATTGCTGGAATGACATGTGATGAGGATGCCCAATAAACGACATTTTCAATTCCTCGTGGTTCCACCTCTGACGGGCAAACCCGAAGCAGACTCCCGTAGGGACCACTGGTCTGCTGACATGGCACGAGCTGAATGGATTAGTGACCTTATCCATTTCCAACAGCCAAACTTTTCCAGCAAAGAAGGAAATTTGGATCACGTGGAACTCCAGCCCAAGCACCGTGCGACGCGCTTTCCCCAAGATCTTTTAGCTGATCTGTGCTAGGCAATGGCCAACGGGGCAAAAAGCTGCCTTATCAGTGTGAAAACTGTCGATCTGTGATAAGGAACGGTCAGGATGCCATGCCTTTTCCATAATATCGTCTCCTCGAGTTTGGCTGATGTGGAATAACAACCAATCAACAGAACGCAGAGCATTCGTACGTGGCTCACCCGGAGTGGCTGTTGTACAACGCATCAGCAGCCGATGGGTCAACCGGAAAAAGTGCAATCCTCGCCGCGCGTTTCCTCTTTTGCAGCCCAACTGCGCTGCCCAGACATTCCCAGCCGCTGTGATCAGGGAGTGACAGCTAGTGGAAGCACTCCCAAGACGAATCCTTGAGAGCATCCATTCCTTCGTATAAATCACGGCGTTCTCGGAGTTGTGATCAGCAGCTGTTATTCTACGCTCAATACTTCCACAGACGTTTCACGAAATCTCCTATTCTTCAGCGTACCTACCTGGTTCTTCGTCCCCGATAATTAGTGAATATGGCGTCCTCCATCGATCAGCTGAAGAACATCGAAATCACCACTGGAGACATCATCGCTGAATACATCTGGTCAGTTCGTGTTCCTTCTGGTCATGATTCTGGATTTGCATCTCAGTCAACCACGTCGTCGGTCTTCGATCCTGTTTTTGGTTGTGAAACCTAACTTAGTTCGAGCTGGTTATGCGTCTGCAGGATTGGTGGCTCAGGCATTGACATCAGGAGCAAGGCTCGGGTAAGCATCCTGGGAATGATGATTCGTTGTGACTGTTGTCCGTGCCGCTCTGCCTCGCACTTTATGTACGATCTGTAAACTCAATCTGATCTTGTTGTCCGTGCCGCTCTGCCTCGCACTTTATGTACGATCTGTAAACTCAATCTGATCTTGTTTTCCATTTGGTTGCTACGTGTCGCGAAATGTGATCAGACTCTCAAGGGACCCATTGGACCAGATGACGTGGCGAAGCTTCCCAAGTGGAACTTCGATGGCTCCAGCACTGGCCAGGCACCCGGCGACGATAGCGAGGTCATTCTCTAGTAAGTTTCTCACTCGCATCGACCTCGCCTCGCGGTTCAGCTCTTTAGAAGCATCTGAATCAATCGTTTCTTTTGCTTCGTTCTCTCCGTGGACTGCATTGTATTCGTCCTGACCCTCATTCTCCTTCCCGCATTGTCCCGCATTGTCGCTCGTGCAGCCCGCAAGCAATCTTCAGGGACCCGTTCCGCGGAGGAAACAACATTCTGGTCATCTGCGACTGCTACACGCCGCAGGGCCAGCCCATTCCCACGAACAAGCGCGCTCTCGCCGCCTCCATCTTCGACAAAGTCAAGGAGCACGAGGCCTGGTGAGTCTGCGCATGAGCATCGCCCTTGAATCGTAAATGTATTCTGCAACAAAAGTTTGATCGTCTCCCTCTGCGATGTCACGTTATTGCTAGACCGCAACACACTATGAGCACCACTGATTATCTCGTTCCGTCTGCTTCTTTCGTCTACTGATTCGCCATATCACCAGGTTCGGCCTGGAGCAAGAGTACACGCTGATGCAGAAGGACGTCAAGTGGCCGCTCGGGTGGCCCACAGGCGGGTACCCCGCGCCGCAGGGGCCGTACTACTGCGGCACGGGCGCGGACAAGGCGTGGGGTCGCGACATCGTGGACGCGCACTACAAGGCGTGCCTGTACGCGGGAGTTAAGATCAGCGGCATCAACGCGGAGGTCATGCCCGGCCAGTGGGAGTTCCAAGTGGGGCCGTGCACGGGCATTGAGGCGGGTGATCACCTCTGGATGGGTCGCTACCTGCTCGAGGTACGCATTCAGCTTGGAGCTTAACGCGCTTAACCATTCATGGTTCCATTCTACTGCCTGTCACCATCGCGTGTTGCCTAACGCGCTACATTGTGTGCTGTGTTTCTCTTGCAGAGAGTGACGGAGATGGCTGGTGTGGTTCTGACGCTCGATCCTAAGCCCATTGAGGTAAGCGCTCGATGTAATGTTCGCTAGCATCACTTTCGTGCCATCATTCGCCTCAGATGCTCCTTTGAATCTTCCATGGGTCCTCATTGACAAACGGTTGTGGAGTCCTGCCACTTACTTGGGTTCATGCGCACGCTACTGTTTGCTTGGGCGTGCACAGGGCGATTGGAACGGTGCAGGGTGCCACACCAACTACAGCACCAAGGCGATGCGTGAGGAGGGCGGGTACGACGTGATCCTGAAGGCCATTGAGAAGCTGGGCCTGCGGCACAAGGAGCACATCGCCGCCTATGGCGAGGGCAACGAGCGACGGCTCACTGGCAAGCACGAGACTGCTGACGTCAACACCTTCTCATGGGTACGGCGTGTGATGGTGACCAGTGCATGAGAATGTGTATGTGCAGCACATGGAAATGTTCTCCATTGCATGATGAGATGTGACTTGTAACGCACTTCTCTAGCTTGAACGAACTCTTGCTCATTGATCTCGTCCCATTGTTCCTGTGTATTTCAGGGTGTGGCGAACCGTGGGTGCTCGGTGCGAGTGGGACGGGACACGGAGGCCCAGAAGAAGGGGTACTTTGAGGACCGCCGGCCGGCCAGCAACATGGACCCCTACGTGGTCACCTCCAAGATTGCCGACACCACCATCCTCTGGGACCCCAAGGGTGAGACAGGCGTTGCCCTGCAATGATAACCCTCTTGCTGCATGCCTGCTGAGCGCACTACTTCATCATGTTCCCTGCTGTATCCGGCTTGCTGTTTCCTCATCTGCAGCATCTACCTCAACTCACCCTTTCCTTTTGCCGTTCTATGTTTCTTTTGTGCAGCTTAAAGCACTTGCCACGAGAGTCCCATGGAAGCTGCACTTCCAGAGGGGGTTAAGAAAGGCTTGCTGCCTGTCTAGGATAAAGCTACCTCAGTCCCGCATGGTTCCACAATTAAGAAATATCCTAGTTCTTTCTTGTGTCTAGGTTGTGCTAAGACTAGTAATGTTTTCCTGCTAAATCAGGGAGATATAGTGGAATTTGCCGGTTGATTCTTTCATCTGCTGGGGGCTATCAGGGACCCAACATTGCACTTGCACCCTGATTGTCAATTGCTCCCCAATCCAAACGTGCTTCTCTTGAGGCCACCCCTTTTGCAAGATATAACCGGTAATGCAAAATGTTGGTTTTCCTCAGGGGAGGGCAATACCTGAGACTATAATAAATATGTCAATGGTATGTTTAATCAATAAATCCGTAAGCATGCTTTGAATTAACATGTGAATAGAAACATTGGTAAATATCGACACCGATACTACGGGGGTTGTGCGCTGGATGGGACAAGACGGCTGGAATGGACTTTTCCCTCCGCATGGTTGACGTGACGGTCAACTCAAATTTGAAATTGTGGTCTGGCACTTGCACAAGCTGCGTGCCAATAGCGTTGCTGCCTGTCAACAAACCTCTCCTCACCATCACCACCCCATCCAACGCCGTCGGTGTCAGGAGCAGCTCCCCCGCGAAAACACGGTAACCTTATTTGTAGTTCGGTGTGTGGTAGCTATCTAACTCTGGCGAAAGCTTATTTCACTCGTCTGACAGTCCTCGCAGCTCCCTGCCGTTCAGCGCACCTCCTCCGCCAACTTTCTGAGGCTTCCCGCCTCGTCAGCGCAAATTTCCCGCAACCAGGCTCTGCAGCAGCGGCGTCCCCCGCCTTGGGTTTAGACTGGAGATGGGACGTTCTCGGCTTGCATGGCGACTCGGCTCCTCACTCCCCTTCACTCACATCGTTTGCTTCGGCACTCCTCCCCTCTCCTCTCCTCACCTCGGCTTGGACTTGGGCATCGCATTCAGCTGGACTCGATAAACCGAACCTCGTTCACGTGGTACCGCATAGGAACGTGAGGAAACAAACTCAACCGAAATACCAAACTTGGCTCACAATGGCCTAGTTCACCTCGGCTTGGGCTTTCCTTCGTCCCTGTGAGTGACTCTGCTGCATGGCGAATCACCTCACTTGCGCTCGCCTCGCATTCCCTTCCTAACCACAATCCCTCTCGCTTGGTTCTGCTCCGTGAGTTCTTTCAGGCGCTTGCTTGCTAATTCGGTCCGTCCGACCATGGCCGCTTCTTTAGTAATAACACGTGCGTCAAAAATAGCAATCGCTTGAGACTAAGCTTGGGCTTCAGATCAGAACGCTCTACACTCTTAATTATACGACCGTCAGATCATTTTCAGGACGACCGGCTGCTAGATTCACCGTTCATCAACGATAAAGTCGTCGTTAATTCTATTATAGACGCTTAAGAATCATCGAATGAGACCCGTCAACTCCTTTTTCGATCAAGTCTTATTATTAGATGTCAGGCTCTCGCCGCGAATCAGCTGTTTCGTGAGATTTTCTTTCGTGTCACGCTAGCAACCTGAAGCTTCCTTCCACAATGACGTTTTTCGCGGTCATGCTTTGTCCTACGACGCCGTTCGTGTGGTTAGGCTCATTTGGCTTCCAGTGAAGCAAGCATCAATCGATCGGCATTATCCAGGGAATCTCGCAGGGCCTGCAGCAAGCACCAATCGATCTCGCAGCATGCATCCTACGACGTCGTCGCGATGCCGTCCGTCCGACGCCGATGCTGACGTGCGACACCGCTTCCAACAACTACTAACGTCCGACGCCTACACTGACGACCGACGTAGGCACTTGCGACGTTAACGAAGATGACCACGCGAAGACGCCTGACGGTGTCGAATGATGTTACTACGTGAGGATTTTCGTGAGGAGGTGGCGGTAGAGATCACGAACACATGGATGCATGGAAGAGATCTCATCGGCGAGAGAGCTCTCGACACTATTACGGACGCTCTTCGTGACGGCGAGTTCGTGACTAAACTTGCGGCGAAATGATTGACGGAGAAGCTTTTTTTAGTCTGATTATTCGTCGATCCCGAAGAGCCCGCGAAGCCGTGGATGGTAGTACGACGGAGGATCCGCTCGTCCACACGTCGACACTCACGGCGGGGTAGCTCGCGAAGGAGCTTCGTCGTGATGCAACGACCGTGCGACGCTCGCGACGTCCCTGGATCTTGTGAATTCGGCCGATGCGAATACGTCAACGTATCTCACTCACTCGTAATCGAAGGGGCCGTTTTCATGGACGCGAATACGTCGACGTTCGCACAGATACTACGGAGAAGCTCGCCGGTGAGTTTTCGTCCAACTTAAAATACGCTCTCAGGCGACGCGCTATCTGTAAGGGTAAACGTTTCGTGGCTATTTTTGGCGTTCGCGTTTCGTTTGCGTTCAATCTGGCGTATATATCATGGCGTCCGTATCTCACTCACCCGTCGTGATGTGAACTGTCTCCGTCCGTGCAGAAGCGGGAGCTAGTTACCTCGTCAGCGTTGGAGCCTATCTCTCGCCAAGAGCTGGAGCGGTGCTGCCGTGAACTGGAGCTGGAGCGGGAGCTAGTTTACTGGTTTGCGTTGGAGCTAACGGTTCGTGGGCTAATCTCTCGCCAAGAGCTGGAGTTAATCTCTCACCAAGAGCTGGAGCGGTGCTGCTGCGTCCGTGCAGCCGCGGGAGAATAGCGTGCAAGAGGTGATGCTGACTGCTGCGTTGGTGCGGACGAGAAGAGATGCCTGACAGGCGTTGGTGCTGGCGCGGTGCTGCTGCGTCCATGGAAGCATGACGTTGACTGGCGTTGCTGCTGTGTTGGAGGCGGAACGGTGCTGCTGCTGTGTTGGAGGCGGTGCTGCTGTTTTGGAGGCGGTGCTGCTGTGTTGGAGGCGGTGCTGCTGCATAGGAGGCGGTGCTGCTGTGTTGGAGGCGGTGCGGCTGTGTTGGAGCGGTGCTGCTGTGTTGGAGGCGGTGCTGCTGTGTTGGAGGCGGTGCTGCTGTGTTGGAGGCGGTGCTGCTGTATTGGAGGCGGTGCTGCTGTGTTGGAGGCGGGGCTGCTGCGTTTGAGCGGTGCTGCTGTGTTGGAGCGGTGCTGCTGTGTTGGAGGCGGTGCTGCTGTGTTGGAGCGGTGCTACTGTGTTTGAGGCTGTGCTGCTGTGTTGGAGGTGGTACTGCTGTGTTGGAGCGGTGCTGCTGTGTTGGAGCGGTGCTGCTGTGTTGGAAGCGCTGCTGCTGTGTTGGAGGCGGTGCTGTTGTGTTGGAGCGGTGCTGCTGTGTTGGAGCGGTGCTGCTGTGTTGGAGGCGGTGCTGCTGTGTTGGAGCGGTGTTGCTGTGTTTGAGGCGGTGCTGCTGTGTTGGAGGCGGTGCTGCTGTGTTGGAGCGGTGCTGCTGTGTTGGAGCAGTGCTGCTGTGTTGGAGCGGTGCTGCTGTGTTTGAGGCTGTGCTGCTGTGTTGGAGGTGATACTGCTGTGTTGGAGCGGTGCTGCTGTGTTGGAGCGGTGCTGCTGTGTTGGAAGCGCTGCTGCTGTGTTGGAGGCGGTGCTGTTGTGTTGGAGCGGTGCTGCTGTGTTGGAGCGGTGCTGCTGTGTTGGAGCAGTGCTGCTGTGTTGGAGCAGTGCTGCTGTGTTTGAGGCTGTGCTGTTGTGTGGGAGGCGGTGCTGCTGTGTTGGAGTGGTGCTGCTGTGTTTGAGCGGTGCTGCTGTGTTGGAGCGGTGCTGCTGTTTTAGAGCGGTGCTGCTGTGTTGGAGGCAGTGCTGCTGTGTTGGAGCGGTGCTGCTGTGTTGGAGGCGGTCCTGCTGTGTTGGGGCGGTGCTGTGTTGGAGCAGTGCTGCTGTGTTGGAGGCGGTCCTGCTGTGTTGGGGCGGTGCTGCTGTGTTGGAGGCGGTGCTGCTATGTTGGAGGCAGTGCTGCTTTGTTGGAGCAGTGCTGCTGTGTTGGAGGCGGTGCTGCTGTGTTGGAGGCGGTGCTGCTGTGTAGGAGGCGGTGCTGCTGCGTAGGAGGTGGTGCTGCTGTGTTGGAGGCGGTGCTGCTGTGTTGGAGGCGGTGCTGCTGTGTTGGAGCGGTGCTGCTGTGTTGGAGCAGTGCTGCTGTGTTGGAGGCGGTGCTGCTGTGATGGAGCGGTGCTGCTGTGTTGGAGCGGTGCTGCTGTGTTGGAAGCGGTGCTGCTGTGTTGGAGAAGCGGCAAGTGGAGAAGCAGCAACAGGAGAAGCAGCGACTTGAGAAGCAAGTAAGTAACTGGAGCTCTTCCTCTCTTCTCCTCGCCCTCCCATCTTCCTCCTCATTCGCGTTTTCCACTCACTTCAGTGTTTTCAAGGCATTCGTTTTCCTTGCTTGAAATCGGTCTTCTTCACTCTGTCAATTTGCTCTGTCAACTCTTCTCTGATTATCCTTCCCTGCGACTCTCTGATCTCTGTGCAGGGAGGCAACGCTAAGGCGTCGGTGGGAAGACGGAGCATCAGCGACTGGATAGCACCTGCTGCGTTGGGGGCATCTGGAGCAGCAGCGACTGGATAAGCAAGTAAGTAATTGGAGCCATGACAAAACACCCCCCATTTTTTTTTTTTCCCCCTCTCCCTTCTCTCTCCTCATTCGAGTTTTTTTCTGCCTGGGTAGTTTCAATTGCTTTCGTGTTATTCGTCGCTTTTCCGCTGTCCTTTCTCCTCCTTGCATTCGATCTTCTTCACTCTGTCAATCTGCTCTGTCGACTCACTGATTGATCTTCCCCGTGCGATTGCGACTCTCCGGCACTGTGCAGGGCGTTAGTCTGTCTGAGGAGAAGCAGCAACAGGAGCAGCATTGACAGCGGCAGCAGTGAAAGCAGGAGGAGAGCGGCAGTGGCAGAAGCAGCACTGTGAGCAGCAGCGGCAGGGGCAGAAGAAGTGGCAACACGAGACGAATGCCCTACACTTTTCTGGCGCTGCTGCTGGGTGTTGGGAGGCCAGTCAATCGCTGCCCTGAGCTGCAGCAGGGAAGGCACAGAGGGGACACGAAATCGACACCAGCAATCTGCGAGCTGCTGCTGGTGCTGCCTCCTGCGGAGTGATGGGACGACAGCAAGCAGCTCTGATGCTGCGTTGGCCAGCAGTGACACCAGCGGTGGCAGCGGCAGTGGGAGGAGAAGGGGATGCAAGCAGTGACACCAGCGGTGGCAGCAGCGGTTGGAGAAGGAGAGAGGTCCGCAATGACACTACAGCTGACAGCAGCAGTGGCTGGCAGCAGAAGGGAAGACCAGCAGTGACACCAGCGGTGGCAGCAGCAGCAGCAGTGGCAGCAGCGACAGCGGTGGCAGCAGCAGCAGCAGCAGCAGCGGTGGCAGCAGCAGCAGCGAAGAGCAGCAGTAGCAGTAGCAGCAGCAGCAGCGGAAGGAGACGGCTGGGACCTGCTGGGAGGAGCATAGAGAGGACGTGAGGAGAGCGAGAGTGAGTGGAGAGTGAGAAGAGAGCGAGGGTGAGAGGAGAGTGAGGGTCAGAGTGAGAGTGAGTCAGAGTGAATGTGAGGTGTGAGGACCTCGTTTGCTGGTTTGAGGCGCCTCAAATCCAGTTTTGTTGTGTCCTGCAGTGCACTGCAGTGTTCCGTTCCTCCTGTCTTCTCTTTTCTGAGTGAGTTTTGAGAGACATCTCGAAACTCACTCACTCTTTCTCTCTCTTCCTTCTCACTGCAGCTTAGCTGAAGTGATGTCTCAAAAGCAGGGTTTCTCAAAACTCTTTTGCATGTTCCTCACTGCAAGCGTTGCGGTGAGCAAAATTGAACAGCTGGTCCTGAAGCATTACCGGGGCAGCAAGGACGGGAAAGGATTTGAGGAGGTGGAGCTTCAAGTGAGGCGCTTTGACCCCCTGGGGGGCAAAGGATCAACACGAGGAGCAGCACCTTCAAGTGAGGCGCTTTGACCCCCTGGGGGGCAAAGGATCAACACGAGGAGCAGCACCTTCAAGTGAGGCGCTTTGACCCCCTGGGGGGCAAAGGATCAACACGAGGAGCAGCACCTTCAAGTGAGGCGCTTTGACCCCCTGGGGGGCAAACGATCAACACGAGGAGCAGCGGCAGGATGAGCAGCACCTTCAAAATATATTTTCATTGCCGCCCCTCTTCTAGGTACAGCAAGCATCAAGGGGCAACACCAAGGCGGGGGCAATACGGGGACGCAACAGCAAAGAATTAAATTTGTGCCGCCCCTCTTCTAGGTACAGCAAGAACGGGGGAGGCAACACCAAGGTGGGAGCAACACGAGGACGCAGCAGCTAGGACCCGTTGTAAGCTGCTGTCTTCTTTGCTTTCTTGTGTCGTCGCATGCCTAATGTTGTTATGTGTGTGTCTTCTTGTCTTAGCCGTCACGAAAACATCAACAAGCCCCCTCGGTGAGCTATCTTCCATCTCTGCTTTCTGTTTTCCACATGTACTAATGTCGTTGTTGCTTCCCGGTTCAGGCAGCCGCGAGACTTCACGACGCCTCCATCCCCCTCGGTAAGTGCTCTCCAAGTTTCTGCTTTCTGTTTTCCACATGTACTAATGTCGTTGTTGCTTCCCGTTTCAGACAGCCGCGAGACTTCACGACGCCTCCAGCCCCCTCGGTAAGTGCTCTCCAAGTTTCTGCTTTCTGTTTTCCACATGTACTAATGTCGTTGCTGCTTCCCGTTTCAGACAGCCGCGGGACTTCACGACGCCTCCAGCCCCCTCGGTAAGTGCTCTCCAAGTTTCTGCTTTCTGTTTTCCACATGTACTAATGTCGTTGTTGCTTCCCGTTTCAGACAGCCGCGGGACTTCACGATGCCTCCAGCCCCCTCGGTAAGTGCTCTCCAAGTTTCTGCTTTCTGTTTTCCACATGTACTAATGTCGTTGTTGCTTCCCGTTTCAGACAGCCGCGGGACTTCACGACGCCTCCAGCCCCCTCGGTAAGTGCTCTCCAAGTTTCTGCTTTCTGTTTTCCACATGTACTAATGTCGTTGCTGCTTCCCGTTTCAGACAGCCGCGGGACTTCACGACGCCTCCAGCCCCCTCGGTAAGTGCTCTCCAAGATTCTGCTTTCTGTTTTCCACATGTACTAATGTCGTTGTTGCTTCCCGTTTCAGACAGCCGCGGGACTTCACGATGCCTCCAGCCCCCTCGGTAAGTGCTCTCCAAGTTTCTGCTTTCTGTTTTCCACATGTACTAATGTCGTTGTTGCTTCCCGTTTCAGACAGCCGCGGGACTTCACGACGCCTCCAGCCCCCTCGGTAAGTGCTCTCCAAGTTTCTGCTTTCTGTTTTCCACATGTACTAATGTCGTTGTTGCTTCCCGTTTCAGACAGCCGCGGGACTTCACGACGCCTCCAGCCCCCTCGGTAAGTGCTCTCCACGTTTCTGCTTTCTGTTTTCCACATGTACTAATGTCGTTGTTGCTTCCCGTTTCAGACAGCCACGAGACTTCACGACGCCTCCAGCCTCCAGAGGAGGCGAGGAGGAGAGGAGGCGAGGAGGAGAGGAGGCGTGGAGGAGAGGAGGCATGGAGGAGAGGGAGCGTGGAGCAGAGGAGGCGCGGAGGAGAGTAGGCGTGGAGCAGAGGAGGAGAGGAGGAGAGGAGCAGAGGAGGTAAGGAGCAGCGGAGCGTGGTGGTGAATGGAAACTGCCTCTGCAAATGTTTCTTTTGTTGTTCTGCACTTTTGTTGCCCAATCCGTGCAATTCTCTTGCGTTTCTTATATGGCTGTCATCTTCTTTCCTGCCTTCGATTTCTTGGTCCTTCGGCTCATAGAATTTTCCCTTCCTTCCCATTCTGCAGGAGAAGCATCGGAGGAGACGGAGGCGAGGAGGCGAGGAAGAGAGGAGGCGAGGAGGAGAGGAGGAGAGGAGGCGAGGAGGAAAGGAGGCGAGGAGGAGAGGAGGCGAGGAGGCCCGCATTGACATTACTGGTTGCAGCAGCAGTGGGAGCAGAAGGGGAGGCGAACCAGCAGAGGAACAAAGATGCAGCATTGGAGAGACATGGAGCTGAGGGCACGGAGAAGGCATGGAGGGAAGAAGGCCAAAGGAGCAGATGCGCATAGAACCACACAGCTGTAATGCTGCTGGTGCTGTGAAGTGATGGGGCGGCAGCTGCTACCTTACTCGCTCCTACCTCCCTCCCGCGTGCGTCTGCTGGTGCTGTGATGTGATGGGACGGCAGCTGCTACCTCCCTTACTCCTACCTCCCTCCCGAGTGATGCTGCTGGTGCTGTGTGAAGTGATGGGACGGCAGCTGCTACCTTCCTCGCTCCTACCTCCCTCCCACGTGCTGGTGGTGGTGCTGTGAAGTGATGGGACGGCAGCTGCTACCTTCCTCGCTCCTACCTCCCTCCCGCGTGATGCTGCTGGTGCTGTGAAGTGATGGGACGGCAGCTGCTACCTTCCTCGCTCCTACCTCCCTCCCGCGTGCGTCTGCTGGTGCTGTGATGTGATGGGACGGCAGCTGCTACCTCCCTCACTCCTACCTCCCTCCCGCGTGCTGCTGCTGGTGCTGTGAAGTGATGGGACGGCAGCTGCTACCTTCCTCGCTCCTACCTCCCTCCCGCGTGCGTCTGCTGGTGCTGTGATGTGATGGGACGGCAGCTGCTACCTCCCTCACTCCTACCTCCCTCCCGCGTGATGCTGCTGGTGCTGTGAAGTGATGGGACGGCAGCTGCTACCTTCCTCGCTCCTACATCCCTCCCACGTGCTGGTGGTGGTGCTGTGAAGTGATGGGACGGCAGCTGCTACCTTCCTCGCTCCTACCTCCCTCCCGCGTGATGCTGCTGGTGCTGTGAAGTGATGGGACGGCAGCTGCTACCTTCCTCGCTCCTACCTCCCTCCCGCGTGCTGCTGCGGGTGCTGTGAAGTGATGGGTAGGCGAGCAGAAGAAAAGGCCAGCGGTGGGACCAGCGGTGGCAGCAGCAGTGGCAGCAGAAGAGAAGGCCTTCCCGTGTGCTACTGCAGAGGAGCAGAGGAGCAGCAGTGGGAGAAATGATGCTGCCTCCCTCCCGTGTGCAGAAGAGAAGGCCACTGCAGGAGAGGTGATGAGCAGGTGAATAGAGCAGAGGAGCAGAGAAGGGGCTAGAGTTGGCAGCAGCAAGGTGCGAGCTGTACCTACCTTTAGCTGCCTTGTGCTGCCTCGCTCCTACCTCCCTCACATGTGCTGCTGCTGGTGCTGTGAATTGGTGGAGTGGCGCTGCTGCTGAAGGGGGAGTGATGCTGCTGCTACGTTGGGAGGTGGTGCTTCTGCTGCTGCATTGGAGGTGGCACCCGCAGTGACACCAGCGGTGGGAGTAGGGGAGAGGCATGCGGCGACACTACCGGTGGCAGCAACAGTGCCAGCAGAAAGAGAAGGCCAGCAGTGACACCAGCAGTGGAGGGTGAGTGGTGCTGCACTGAAGAGCAACGAGCAAAGGAGCACGGTGGTGGATAACTATTCACTGCCGATGGTGATTTTCTCTTTCACTTAAGTTGTTTTGTTTGGTCGAATGTCGTTGCCTTGGTTTTAACTTTGCTCTGAGTTCCTTCATGGCACTGGATGCAATCGTTGCCTTGCACTGCACTCATCGTCCCTGACTCACTCTCCTCCCATTTCACAGAAGGGCGCAGAGGCGAGGGATCAGCAGACGAGACGGATCAGCAGTGGAGATGCAGAGGAGACGGCTGCTACAGGCGAGCAGAGCAGACGGCTACTAAAGGCGGGCAGAGGAGACGGCTGCTACAGGCGGGCAGAGGAGACGGCTGCTACAGGCGGGCAGAGGAGACGGCTGCTACAGGCGGGCAGAGGAGACGGCTGCTACAGGCGGGCAGAGGAGATGGCTGCTACAGGCGGGCAGAGGAGACGGCTGCTACAGGCGGGCAGAGGAGACGGCTGCTACAAGCGCGCTGGACTGCCATGAGCGATGCCAGCGAGCTGTACCTACCTTTAGCTACCTTTTGCTGCCAATGAGCTGTGAAGGGGATGAAGCAGCTGTGAAGGGAATGAAGCAGATGTGAAGGGGATGAAGCAGACGGGAGGGGGAGCAGAGTGAAAGGGGGAGCAGAGTTGCGGGGCAGAGAAGAGAAAGATTGAGCTGTTACCACCTGCTGCTGCCTTGTGGTCCCGCCTCTCTCGCCTGTGCTGCTGCTGGCGCTATGAAGTGATGGGACGACAACTGCTACCTTCCTTGCTCCTACCTCCCTTCCGTAAGCTGCTGCTGGTGCTGTGAAGTGATGGGGCGGTGAGCAGAAGAGAAGGCCAGCAGTGTCACCAGCGGTGGCAGCAGCAGTGGGAGCAGAAGGGATTGCAAGAGGAGACACTAGCGGTGGCAGTAGCAATGACACCACTGCAGAGGAGCAGAGGAGACTACTGGCACCTGCTGGGAAGTGAGGAGCAGTAGGAGCAGAAGAGAAGGCCACCTGCTGGGAGGAGCAGCAATGGGAGCCAATGACTGCTGGTACCTCCTGGGAAGGGAGGAGCAGCAGAGTGATGGGGGGAGTGAGGAGGGAACGGAGTGACTGAGAGGGTGAGAGGAGAGAAAGTGTGAGGGTAAGCGTGAGAGTGAGAGTCAGAGTGAGTGTGAGGGTCAGAGTGAGAGTGAGAGTGAGAGTGAGTGGGAGGGTCAGAGTGAGAGTGAGAGTGAGTGTGAGGGTCAGAGTGAGTGTGAGGGTCAGAGTGAGAGTGAGAGTCAGAGTGAGTGAGAGGTGTGAGGACCTTGTATGCTGGTTTGAGGCGCCTCAAATCCAGTTGTGAGCTGCCGGTGGCAGTTCTGTTGTGTCCTGCAGTGCACTGCAGTGTTCCGTTCCTCCTCTCTTCTCTTCTCTGAGTTTTGAGAGACATCTCAAAACTCACTAACACACTCTCTCTCTCTTCCTTACTAAACTTGTGAGTTTTGACAGACGTCTCAAAACTCATGCCTTCCTCACAGCAGTGTAGCTGCAGTGAGCAAAATCAGGGTTTCGGGAGATCTCCCAAAACTCTTATGCATGTTCCTCACTGCAAGCTTTGCAGTGAGCAAAACTGTACAGCTGGTCAAGGAACAAGACCGGGCAGCATTGGATTTGAGATTAATTTTAACCTGCCCCTGGGCAGTATCCAGTGTCCTTTTGTGTTCTGTCTCCCCCCCAACAGGGTCCCGAGCGATGGTTCCCACCTCACCGCGGTGCTTGGGTGTAACGTTGGGAGCTTGCTCCTGGCGGCCAAGAGGAACCCCCCATGCATACCTACAGTGCATGGGTAGTACAATAGTACATTTAATTATTATGTATATTGGATCATCATTAGGAACTTTGAATGGATAATTACCATATTTTTGAACTAATTCTGCAGTAGGTGTAGCTTTAGTTCAGGCATATGTAGACAATGAATACAATGGACCAGCATGTTATATATTTAGTCAATTGATGCACCCGATGATGTGTATTTGCTGGTCTGACAGATACCATAGAACCACTTGAACCAGAGAAACAAGTTACACATACAGAGCCACATAGACAGCTACCGTAAAAAGATCAGTAAATGGAACTTGATAGTGATCAATTTGTACTCCCCTGTTTCAAACGCACCATTGTCACTTCGAGACTTCCCTGCGATGGCTTTAGTAATTTCGTGCTGCGATGGCTTTCGAATGTCGCGCTGAGATGGATTTTTTAGATTCGAACTTCGCGCTGCGTCAGTGTCGGCTACTTCTCTGGATATCCTGATCATGTCCTGGCAATCCTAGTAGCGGATATTTGATAAGCACTTGGACCGATGATGTCCTCGGCGACTCCTCTAGCTTCAGTTTGTCTCGCCGTTTCAGTGTACGCGAGTGTACATTAGTTACAAGGATCCACGCTGACGATCGGACGCTGGTTACAAGAGTCGACGCGGAAGCGGCTCACGGGGCGATGACAGCGGGAAATGGCTCTCACGCGGTTGTACCATCAGCGGTCCCGTGAGATTCGGAACCATCAGCGGTCGACCCTTATCTAAACCGTAGTAGCGACGTGCGATGCTCCCTGCTTCTACGAAGAAACAGAATATCAAGTCAAATAAAATCTCCGCTGTGAGTCTACCAGTCACAATGTTGCTATATGCGCTCCAATGTCTGAAATTTCTATCTTTCCACATTAACCTTCCCTTCCCCACCCTTCCCCCTCCTCCGCCTTCCTGCTTTCGCACTATTCCTTGCTTTATCTCCTGCTTTCCTACTTTCCTGCTTTCCTACTTTCCTGCTTTCCTACTTTCCTGCTTCCGCTCAAAAGTCAGCCTGGTACGATAAATAGTGCGTGCATGCCGTGCTTCACGCTGCCAGTCTCCAACATGGAGCGATCTAGTAAGCAGTGGATCTCTGTTTAGCGTGCTCCATGCTTCTCCGTTAAGCTCTGATACAAATCTGCGGGCCTAGGAATCGGTCTCCGGGCAGTTCTGCTAACGAGCGAGGAAACATGCATCTAAAACGTTTTCTGCAAATTACATTTTCTCTCCCTTCCCCGGCGTGTTTCCTCTCTTGCTCAGAATTCAACATCACGCTATCGTTTCTCCTAAGCGCATAACGCTTCTCCCTGCCGCCTGTCACGCGCCGTGCCCGCGTCATGCACCGCGTGCTCGCCCTCCACACTCTCGACCGGAAGCTCTCTGCCGCTCAGCTGGCACAACTACCTGCAGCCTCACTGATGCGTGCATGCTCACTGGTGCGTGCATGCTCACTGGTGCGTGCATGCTCACTGATGCGTGCATGCTCACTGGTGCGTGCATGCTCACTGGTGCGTGCATGCTCACTGGTGCGTGCATGCTCACTGGTGCGTGCATGCTCACTGGTGCGTGTATGCTCACTGGTGCGTGCATGCTCACTGATGCGTGCATGCTCACTGGTGCGTGCATGCTCACTGGTGCGTGCATGCTCACTGGTGCGTGCATGCTCACTGGTGCGTGTATGCTCACTGATGCGTGCATGCTCACTGGTGCGTGCATGCTCACTGGTGCGTGCATGCTCACTGGTGCGTGCATGCTCACTGGTGCGTGCATGCTCACTGGTGCGTGCATGCTCACTGATGTGTGCATGCTCACTGGTGCGTGCATGCTCACTGGTGCGTGCATGCTCACTGGTGCGTGCATGCTCACTGGTGCGTGCATGCTCACTGATGTGTGCATGCTCACTGGTGCGTGCATGCTCACTGATGCGTGCATGCTCACTGGTGTGTGCATGCTCACTGATGTGTGCATGCTCACTGGTGCGTGTATGCTCACTGGTGCGTGCATGCTCACTGATGCGTGCATGCTCACTGGTGCGTGTATGCTCACTGATGCGTGCATGCTCACTGGTGCGTGTATGCTCACTGATGCGTGCATGCTCACTGGTGCGTGCATGCTCACTGGTGCGTGCATGCTCACTGGTGCGTGTATGCTCACTGATGCGTGCATGCTCACTGGTGCGTGCATGCTCACTGGTGCGTGCATGCTCACTGGTGCGTGCATGCTCACTGGTGCGTGCATGCTCACTGATGCGTGCATGCTCACTGGTGTGTGCATGCTCACTGATGTGTGCATGCTCACTGGTGCGTGTATGCTCACTGGTGCGTGCATGCTCACTGATGCGTGCATGCTCACTGGTGCGTGCATGCTCACTGATGCGTGCATGCTCACTGGTGCGTGCATGCTCACTGGTGCGTGCATGCTCACTGGTGCGTGCATGCTCACTGGTGCGTGTATGCTCACTGGTGCGTGCATGCTCACTGGTGCGTGCATGCTCACTGGTGCGTGCATGCTCACTGGTGCGTGCATGCTCACTGGTGCGTGCATGCTCACTGATGTGTGCATGCTCACTGGTGCGTGCATGCTCACTGGTGCGTGCATGCTCACTGGTGCGTGCATGCTCACTGGTGCGTGCATGCTCACTGATGTGTGCATGCTCACTGGTGCGTGCATGCTCACTGATGCGTGCATGCTCACTGGTGTGTGCATGCTCACTGATGTGTGCATGCTCACTGGTGCGTGCATGCTCACTGGTGCGTGCATGCTCACTGGTGCGTGCATGCTCACTGGTGCGTGCATGCTCACTGGTGCGTGCATGCTGACTGATGCGTGCATGCTCACTGATGTGTGCATGCTCACTGGTGCGTGCATGCTCACTGGTGCGTGCATGCTCACTGGTGCGTGCATGCTCACTGGTGCGTGCATGCTCACTGATGCGTGCATGCTCACTGGTGCGTGCATGCTCACTGGTGCGTGTATGCTCACTGATGCGTGCATGCTCACTGGTGCGTGCATGCTCACTGGTGCGTGCATGCTCACTGATGTGTGCATGCTCACTGATGTGTGCATGCTCACTGGTGCGTGCATGCTCACTGGTGCGTGCATGCTCACTGGTGCGTGCATGCTCACTGGTGCGTGCATGCTCACTGATGTGTGCATGCTCACTGGTGCGTGCATGCTCACTGATGCGTGCATGCTCACTGGTGTGTGCATGCTCACTGATGTGTGCATGCTCACTGGTGCGTGCATGCTCACTGGTGCGTGCATGCTCACTGGTGCGTGCATGCTCACTGGTGCGTGCATGCTCACTGATGCGTGCATGCTCACTGGTGTGTGCATGCTCACTGATGTGTGCATGCTCACTGGTGCGTGCATGCTCACTGGTGCGTGCATGCTCACTGATGCGTGCATGCTCACTGGTGCGTGCATGCTCACTGGTGCGTGTATGCTCACTGATGCGTGCATGCTCACTGGTGCGTGCATGCTCACTGGTGCGTGCATGCTCACTGATGTGTGCATGCTCACTGATGCGTGCATGCTCACTGGTGCGTGCATGCTCACTGGTGCGTGCATGCTCACTGGTGCGTGCATGCTCACTGGTGCGTGCATGCTCACTGATGCGTGCATGCTCACTGGTGTGTGCATGCTCACTGATGTGTGCATGCTCACTGGTGCGTGTATGCTCACTGGTGCGTGCATGCTCACTGATGCGTGCATGCTCACTGGTGCGTGCATGCTCACTGATGCGTGCATGCTCACTGGTGCGTGCATGCTCACTGGTGCGTGCATGCTCACTGGTGCGTGCATGCTCACTGGTGCGTGTATGCTCACTGGTGCGTGCATGCTCACTGGTGCGTGCATGCTCACTGGTGCGTGCATGCTCACTGGTGCGTGCATGCTCACTGGTGCGTGCATGCTCACTGATGTGTGCATGCTCACTGGTGCGTGCATGCTCACTGGTGCGTGCATGCTCACTGGTGCGTGCATGCTCACTGGTGCGTGCATGCTCACTGATGTGTGCATGCTCACTGGTGCGTGCATGCTCACTGATGCGTGCATGCTCACTGGTGTGTGCATGCTCACTGATGTGTGCATGCTCACTGGTGCGTGCATGCTCACTGGTGCGTGCATGCTCACTGGTGCGTGCATGCTCACTGGTGCGTGCATGCTCACTGGTGCGTGCATGCTGACTGATGCGTGCATGCTCACTGATGTGTGCATGCTCACTGGTGCGTGCATGCTCACTGGTGCGTGCATGCTCACTGGTGCGTGCATGCTCACTGGTGCGTGCATGCTCACTGATGCGTGCATGCTCACTGGTGCGTGCATGCTCACTGGTGCGTGTATGCTCACTGATGCGTGCATGCTCACTGGTGCGTGCATGCTCACTGGTGCGTGCATGCTCACTGATGTGTGCATGCTCACTGATGTGTGCATGCTCACTGGTGCGTGCATGCTCACTGGTGCGTGCATGCTCACTGGTGCGTGCATGCTCACTGGTGCGTGCATGCTCACTGATGTGTGCATGCTCACTGGTGCGTGCATGCTCACTGATGCGTGCATGCTCACTGGTGTGTGCATGCTCACTGATGTGTGCATGCTCACTGGTGCGTGCATGCTCACTGGTGCGTGCATGCTCACTGGTGCGTGCATGCTCACTGGTGCGTGCATGCTCACTGATGCGTGCATGCTCACTGGTGTGTGCATGCTCACTGATGTGTGCATGCTCACTGGTGCGTGCATGCTCACTGGTGCGTGCATGCTCACTGATGCGTGCATGCTCACTGGTGCGTGCATGCTCACTGATGCGTGCATGCTCACTGGTGCGTGCATGCTCACTGGTGCGTGCATGCTCACTGATGTGTGCATGCTCACTGATGCGTGCATGCTCACTGGTGCGTGCATGCTCACTGGTGCGTGCATGCTAACTGGTGCGTGCATGCTCACTGATGCGTGCATGCTCACTGGTGTGTGCATGCTCACTGATGTGTGCATGCTCACTGGTGCGTGCATGCTCACTGGTGCGTGCATGCTCACTAGTGCGTGTATGCTCACTGATGCGTGCATGCTCACTGGTGCGTGCATGCTCACTGATGTGTGCATGCTCACTGATGCGTGCATGCTCACTGGTGCGTGCATGCTCACTGGTGCGTGCATGCTCACTGGTGCGTGCATGCTCACTGATGCGTGCATGCTCACTGGTGTGTGCATGCTCACTGATGTGTGCATGCTCACTGGTGCGTGCATGCTCACTGGTGCGTGCATGCTCACTGGTGCGTGCATGCTCACTGATGCGTGCATGCTCACTGGTGCGTGCATGCTCACTGGTGCGTGTATGCTCACTGATGCGTGCATGCTCACTGGTGCGTGCATGCTCACTGGTGCGTGCATGCTCACTGGTGCGTGCATGCTCACTGGTGCGTGCATGCTCACTGATGCGTGCATGCTCACTGGTGCGTGTATGCTCACTGATGCGTGCATGCTCACTGGTGCGTGCATGCTCACTGGTGCGTGCATGCTCACTGATGTGTGCATGCTCACTGGTGCGTGCATGCTCACTGGTGCGTGCATGCTCACTGATGTGTGCATGCTCACTGGTGCGTGCATGCTCACTGGTGCGTGCATGCTCACTGGTGCGTGCATGCTCACTGGTGCGTGCATGCTCACTGATGTGTGCATGCTCAATGGTGCGTGCATGCTCACTGATGCGTGCATGCTCACTGGTGTGTGCATGCTCACTGATGTGTGCATGCTCACTGGTGCGTGCATGCTCACTGGTGCGTGCATGCTCACTGGTGCGTGCATGCTCACTGGTGCGTGCATGCTCACTGATGTGTGCATGCTCACTGGTGCGTGCATGCTCACTGGTGCGTGCATGCTCACTGGTGCGTGCATGCTCACTGGTGCGTGCATGCTCACTGATGTGTGCATGCTCACTGGTGCGTGCATGCTCACTGATGCGTGCATGCTCACTGGTGTGTGCATGCTCACTGATGTGTGCATGCTCACTGGTGCGTGCATGCTCACTGGTGCGTGCATGCTCACTGGTGCGTGCATGCTCACTGGTGCGTGCATGCTCACTGATGCGTGCATGCTCACTGGTGTGTGCATGCTCACTGATGTGTGCATGCTCACTGGTGCGTGCATGCTCACTGGTGCGTGCATGCTCACTGGTGCGTGCATGCTCACTGGTGCGTGCATGCTCACTGGTGCGTGCATGCTCACTGGTGCGTGCATGCTCACTGGTGCGTGCATGCTCACTGGTGCGTGCATGCTGACTGATGCGTGCATGCTCACTGATGTGTGCATGCTCACTGGTGCGTGCATGCTCACTGGTGCGTGCATGCTCACTGGTGCGTGCATGCTCACTGATGTGTGCATGCTCACTGGTGCGTGCATGCTCACTGGTGCGTGCATGCTCACTGGTGCGTGCATGCTCACTGGTGTGTGCATGCTCACTGATGTGTGCATGCTCACTGGTGCGTGCATGCTCACTGGTGCGTGCATGCTCACTGGTGCGTGCATGCTCACTGGTGCGTGCATGCTCACTGGTGCGTGCATGCTCACTGGTGCGTGCATGCTCACTGGTGCGTGTATGCTCACTGATGCGTGCATGCTCACTGGTGCGTGCATGCTCACTGGTGCGTGCATGCTCACTGGTGCGTGCATGCTCACTGGTGCGTGCATGCTCACTGGTGCGTGCATGCTCACTGGTGCGTGCATGCTCACTGGTGCGTGCATGCTCACTGGTGCGTGCATGCTCACTGGTGCGTGCATGCTCACTGATGCGTGCATGCTCACTGGTGCGTGCATGCTCACTGGTGCGTGCATGCTCACTGGTGCGTGCATGCTCACTGGTGCGTGCATGCTCACTGATGCGTGCATGCTCACTGGTGCGTGCATGCTCACTGGTGTGTGCATGCTCACTGGTGCGTGTATGCTCACTGGTGCGTGCATGCTCACTGGTGCGTGCATGCTCACTGGTGCGTGTATGCTCACTGGTGCGTGCGCTGAAGCACGCAGACTGGCTGTTGTGAATTTGGGAGCCATGGAAATGTGAGTGAGATGGGGTGTTGGTGGTGTTCCGCTTGTGCACGCATCGCACCACCAGCATTCCTGGTGTATTGTTTGCACCAATAGATTTGCTGGCACTTTTTGCTCGTTCAATAATCTCTCTCGCCTAATATATTCCTTCCTCAGCCCTCGCTCTCTCCCCATCTCCGTCACCCAGCGCCACCCCCCCCTTTCCACAGCCACTCCCTCTCCCTTCCCCATCCACCCCCTCTCCCTTCCCCAGCCACCCCCTCTCCCTTCCCCAGCCACCCCCTCTCCCTTCCCCAGCCACTCCCGCTCATTCCATCACCCTTGACAAACCTCTCTCTCCCCCTTTTTCTGATCCTCCCTTTTTACCCCCTCCCCCCAACCTCTGGTGCCCATGCAGTTCACAACAGGGTTTGAGGAGATGGAGATGGAGAAGGTGGAAGGGGAGAGTATCGTGCGATGGGCAAGCCACTGTTGGGAGCGCAGGGGAATGTACGAGTGGTGCTGCCAGACCTCTACACAGATGCACACATGGTGGTGCATGGAGTGAGTGGAATCATGGTGCCTAACATTTTACTAGACCTCCGATCATAAGGGATATCAAAGCAAAATATAAGAATTGAGAAAAAAAAAACCCCCATGCTAGCTACCCTCAAGTTAGTGCATATTTTCACGCGAGGTGATTTATCTCAAACGTTTTGATAAAATGACAGGTGTAATGGCAGATGTGTGATTAGCGGAAAGGATAGAAGTAGGTATTCACTAGCGATTTACGTTCACCTCTATAACTAGCCATTAATTCTTAACTGTAAAATCAAGACGTGGATGAAAGCAAGACCGCCTGAATGATGATGGACTAGACAAGCGACTCAATTTGAATTCGTCGTCTGACACCACCAGTTCAACTTCACCTCATCATTCACATGTTATGGCGGCTCGGGCCATGACATACACACACACCCATCCATAGGGTCTCGAGGCAGAGATCTGATTGGTGGTAACTTACCACATGTACTAATGTCGTTGTTGCTTCCCGTTTCAGACAGCCACGGGACTTCACGACGCCTCCAGCCCCCTCGGTAAGTGCTCTCCAAGTTTCTGCTTTCTGTTTTCCACATGTACTAATGTCGTTGTTGCTTCCCGTTTCAGACAGCCGCGAGACTTTACGACGCCTCCAGCCTCCAGAGGAGGCGAGGAGGAGAGGGGGCGAGGAGGAGAGGAGGCGTGGAGGAGAGGAGGCGCGGAGGAGAGGGAGCGTGGAGCAGAGGAGGCGCGGAGGAGAGGGGGCGTGGAGCAGAAGGGGCGCGGAGGAGAGGAGACGCTGAGGAGAGTAGGCGTGGAGCAGCGGCGCAGAGGAGGAGAGGAGCAGAGGAGGTAAAGAGCAGTGGAGCGTGCTGGTGAATGGAAACTGCCTCTGCAAATGTTTCTTTTGTTGTTCTGCACTTTTGTTGCCCAATCCGTGCAATTCTCTTGCGTTTCTTGTATGGCTGTCATCTTCTTTCCTGCCTTCGATTTCTTGGTCCTTCGGCTCATAGAATTTTCACTTCCTTCCCATTCTGCAGTAGATGCATCGGAGGAGAAGGAGGCGAGGAGGCGAGGAAGAGAGGAGGAGAGGTGGAGAGGAGGCGAGGAGGCCCGCAGTGACATTGCTGGTTGCGGCAGCAGTTGCAGCAGAAGGGGAGGAGAACCAGCAGAGGAGTGGAAGGAGAGGCAAAGGAGATGGAGAAGAGGAACAAAGATGCAGCATTGGAGAGACATGGAGCTGAGGCCACGGAGGAGAGAAGGCATGGAGGGAAGAAGGCTAAAGGAGCAGAGGCGCAGAGAACCACACAGCTGCAATGCTGCTGGTGCTGTGAAGTGATGGGACGGCAGCTGCTACCTTCCTCGCTCCTACCTCCCTCCCACGTGCTGCTGCTGGTGCTGTGATGTGATGGGACGGCAGCTGCTACATTCCTCGCTCCTACCTCCCTCCCACATGCTGCTGGTGGTGCTGTGAAGTGATGGGACGGCAGCTGCTACCTTCCTCGCTCCTACCTCCCTCCCACGTGCTGCTGCTGGTGCTGTGTAAGTGATGGGATGGCAGCTGCTACCTTCCTCGCTCCTACCTCCCTCCCACATGCTGCTGGTGGTGCTGTGAAGTGATGGGACGGCAGCTGCCACCTTCCTCGCTCCTACCTCCCTCCCACGTGCTGCTGATGGTGCTGTGAAGTGATGGGACGGCAGCTGCTACCTCCCTTACTCCTACCTCCCTCCTGCGTGCTGCTGCTGGTGCTGTGAAGTGATGGGACGGCAGCTGCTACCTCCCTCCTGCGTGCTGCTGCTGGTGCTGTGAAGTGATGGGACGGCAGCTGCTACCTCCCTCGCTCCTACCTCCCTCCCACGTGCTGCTGCTGGTGCTGTGAAGTGATGGGACGGCAGCTGCTACCTTCCTCGCTCCTACCTCCCTCCCACGTGCGGCTGCTGGTGCTGTGAAGTGATGGGCTGCTACCTTCCTCGCTCCTACCTCCCTCCCACGTGCTGCTGATGGTGCTGTGAAGTGATGGGACGGCAGCTGCTACCTTCGTCGCTCCTACCTCCCTCCCACGTGCTGCTGCTGGTGGTGTGAAGTGATGGGACGGCAGCTGCTACATTCCTCGCTCCTACCTCCCTCCCACATGCTGGTGGTGGTGCTGTGAAGTGATGGGACGGCAGCTGCTACCTTCCTCGCTCCTACCTCCCTCCCACGTGCTGCTGCTGGTGCTGTGTAAGTGATGGGATGGCAGCTGCTACCTTCCTCGCTCCTACCTCCCTCCCACGTGCGGCTGTTGGTGCTGTGAAGTGATGGGACGGCAGCTGCTACCTTCCTCGCTCCTACCTCCCTCCCGCGTGCTGCTGCTGGTGCTGTGAAGTGATGGGTAGGCGAGCAGAAGAAAAGGCCAGCGGTGGGACCAGCGGTGGCAGCAGCAGTGGCAGCAGAAGACAAGGCCTTCCCGTGTGCTACTGCAGAGGAGCAGAGGAGCAGCAGTGGGAGAAATGATGCTTCCTCCCTTACGTGTGCAGAAGAGAAGGCCACTGCAGGAGAGGTGATGAGCAGGTGAATAGAGCAGAGGAGCAGAGAAGGGGCTAGAGTTGGCAGCAGCAAGGTGCGAGCTGTACCTACCTTTAGCTGCCTTGTGCTGCCTCGCTCCTACCTCCCTCGCATGTGCTGCTGCTGTTGCTGTGGTGGAGTGGCGCTGCTGCTGGAAGGGGATTGATGCTGCTGCTGCATTGCGAGGTGGTGGTGCTGCTGCATCATTGGAGGTGGCGCCCGCAGTTACACCTGCATTGGGAGTAGGGGAGAGGCATGCGGTGACACTACCGGTGGCAGCAACAGTGCAAGCAGAAAGAGAAGGCCAGCAGTGACACCAACAGTGACACCAGCAGAACAGGGGGTGAAGCAGGTTGCAGGGAACACAGGTTGCAGCGAAGCAGAACAGGGGGTGAAGCAGGTTGCAGGGAACACAGGTTGCAGCGGAGCAGAGCAGGGGGTGAAGCAGGTTGCAGGGAACACAGGTTTCAGCGAAGCAGAACAGGGGGTGAAGCAGGTTGCAGGGAACACAGGTTGCAGCGAAGCAGAACAGGGGGTGAAGCAGGTTGCAGGGAACACAGGTTGCAGCGAAGCAGAACAGGGGGTGAAGCAGGTTGCAGGGAACACAGGTTGCAGCGAAGCAGAACAGGGGGTGAAGCAGGTTGCAGGGAACACAGGTTGCAGCGAAGCAGAACAGGGGGTGAAGCAGGTTGCAGGGAACACAGGTTGCAGCGAAGCAGAACAGGGGGTGAAGCAGGTTGCAGGGAACACAGGTTGCAGCGAAGCAGAACAGGGGGTGAAGCAGGTTGCAGGGAACACAGGTTGCAGCGAAGCAGAACAGGGGGCGAAGCAGGTTGCAGGGAACACAGGTTGCAGCGAAGCAGAACAGGGGGTGAAGCAGGTTGCAGGGAACACAGGTTGCAGCGAAGCAGAGTAGGACCTCGTTTGCTGGTTTGAGGCGCCTCAAATCCAGTTGTGAACTGCCGGTGGCAGTTCTGTTCTCTCTTGAAACTCACTCGAAACTCACTCTCGAAGCTCTCCCTCCTCAACAGGGTCACATATTTATTTCCACCCGCCTATCCTTTTGTGTTCTGTCTCCCCCCCCAACATGGTCTCATAATAATTTCCACCTGCCCCTGGGCAGTATCCTGCATCCTTTTGTTTTCTGCCTCCCCCCCCAACAGGGTCACGTAATAATTTCTCACCTGCCCCTGGGCATTATCCAGTATCCGTTTGTGTTCTGTCCCCCCCCCCCAAACAGAGTCACATAATAATTTTCACCAGCCTTTGGGCAGTATCCAGTATCCTTTGTGTTCTGTCTCCCCCCCAACAGGGTCACATAATAATTTCACCTGCCCCTGGGCAGTATCCAGTATCCTTTTGTGTTCTGTCTCCCCCCCCAACTGGGTCACATAATAATTTCCACCTGCCCCTAGGCAGTATCCTGCATCCTTTTGTGTTCTGCCTCCCCCCCCAACAGGGTCACGTGATATTTTTCACCTGCCCCTGGGCAGTATCCAGTATCCGTTTGTGTTCTGTCTCCCCCCCCCCAACAGAGTCACATAATATTTTTCACCTGCCTTTGGGCAGTATCCAGTATCCTTTGTGTTCTGTCTCCCCCCCCAACAGGGTCACATAATAATTTTCACCTGCCCCTGGGCAGTATCCAGTATCCTTTTATGTTCTGTCACCCCCCCCAACAGGGTCACATACTAATTTTAACCTGCCCCTGGGCATTGTCCAGTGTCCTTCTGTGTTCTGTCTCCCCCCCAACAGGGTCCCGAGCGATGGTTCCCACCTCACCGCGGTGCTTGGGTGTAACGTTGGGAGCTTGCTCCTGGCGGCCAAGAGGAACCCCCCATGCACACCTACAGTGCATGGGTTGTACAATAGTACAATCAATAAATATCTATTCTGGATTATCAATAGTTAATCTTGGTTTAGATGTTCAGATTGAACTTTCAGTAAATATAGACATTTACTTGGATACTAGATAGGGCGCATTCAATTAGATCATTATTATGGATCTTATATGGTGCATTGTAGGTTCTAGCATGCAAAAACACACCTGATTCGCACCAGGGGGCATGCAAAGAAGATCTGGCATGAAGTATAGTAGTCATTACTAGCTAGAACAACTGTCAGTTGGACAAATCAGAAAGGAACAGCAAGCACGCACAGATGGCAATGTGCAGTGCCTCTGGCAACTAGAAGGGCCCCTCCTGCCCTCCAAGGATCCTGGTAAAAAAAAGGGTTCTAAAGCAACTAGAGGTCTGAGACAAAGAGTTCATGTGTGGTTGTGCAGTGGAAGGAGGAATGGAGAGTAATATCGTGTTCTTATGGTGAAGTGCTTGATGAAGCTGCTGACCCTTCAACCTGGGTAATTGTTTCCCGAACTTTGAACCTGCCAGTCACTACAGCGTTCAGCATACAGCAAACACAACCCTTCACTCGAATGCATGAAGTTTTTTCTGAGAAGCAGCCTCGATGTCCGCTAGCCGTAGGGTAACCGCACGTCTGTGTGCCTCGAGCCCTTCGACCTCGGCCATCTTAGCCACAGAGGGACCCAGCAGCTGCAGGCCCGAGGCAGAGAGAGACTGCACGGTGATGTGCTTGAAGAAGGCGTCGAGAGACACGCCGCCGTACATGCGTGCATAGCCGTAGGTGGGCAGCACGTGGTTGGTTCCGCTGGCGTAGTCTCCCACACTCTCTGGGGTCCATGGGCCCAGGAAGACTGACCCTGAGAGTTAAAGAGGAAAGAGGCATGGGGGATGGCGGATGGGCGATTGGGATGGGATGGTGTTGAAAGGAGGATGGCAGCCACATGGTCGGCTGGAAGGAGGATGACGTTGCGAGAGATTTCTTATGATTCTCAGAAATATTTGAGGGCAGGGAGAAGGAGGAGGCTCACCAGCGTTGCGGATGAGGGGCAGGCAGTCCACCGCCTGTGCGGCGTTGATAATTAGATGCTCGGGGGCGTAGCGGTTGGAGAAGAGGCACGCCTGGTGGGATGGGGGGGCAGAGTAAAAGGGGGACAGTGGAAAAGGGGTACCCAAATGGGCAATGTGAGGGGGAAAGCCTAACCTCACAGCCTGTGGGCAATGTGTAACAGCCTGGGCGGCGTTGATGATGAGAGATGCTCGGGGGCGTAGTGGCTGGAGAAGAGGCATGCCTGGTGGGATGGGGGGGCAGAGTAAAGGGGGCAATGTGAGGGGGGGAACCTAACCTAAGGCAGCACCGCAAAGAGATGGTGTCTCAGGCATTGACGATGAGATGCTGGGGGAATAGCGGTAGGAGAAAGGCATACCTAGTGGGATGGGGGCCAGAGTAACAGGGGAATAAGGGGAGACCATAGCTTAGGCGTTAATGGCTCATGTCTCTGTCTGCATCTTACATACCTCGTGAATATCAGCTGCCACCACCACGTAAGAGTGGCTCAGCGCCTTGGCGGCAATTCCGCCTTTCCACCCATCTGTCACTTCACACACCCTGCTATGTTAGGCTGTGCGCCCTTGTTATACCTCTCTGATTTCAGCTGCCACCACAACGAAAAGAGTGTGGCTCAGCTCTTTGGCAGCAACAGGACCCTCTCTGCCTCTCAACCTGGAATTTCATGCAACTCACCTCGTTGATATCAGCAGCCACCACCACATAAGAGTGGCTCAGCGCCTTGGCAGCAACGTCCCCTCGGGGCAGCTCCCCCCTCTGCCGCTCCACCTCTGCCTCGATGGCTGCCAAGTTCACCCCCTCGCCCACCGCCACCAGCACCACCTGACTGTCTGGCCCGTGCTCCGCCTGATGGGAGGAGGAGGGGGAGATAGAGATGGAGAGGAGAGGAGGGATGATTGGAAAAATAATCACAGTTGGTTCCCCCTCGCCCACCGCCACCACCTGACTGTCCGGCCCGTGCTCCGCCTGAATGATTGGAAAGAGGGAGACAGAGATGGAAAGGACGGTTGGTCGAAAGGACCTTAGAGGGCCCAGCAAGGATGTCGATAACCACCATGGCCTCACTGGTCTACCAGCAGAATGCTCACCTGGGACTGCAGAGCGCCAGCTCGTCGGCAATAACGAGCACCCAGCACGGATGTCGATGGCCACCACGGCCTCACTCATCTGCTCTGCAGTGCCATCTTGGCTCACAGCTGGGAATTGGACATACAAACCTGAGTGCACTGAACTGGACATACAAACCTGAGTGCACTGAACTGGACATACAAACCTGAGTGCACTGAACTGGACATACAAACCTGAGTGCACTGAACTGGACATACAAACCTGAGTGCACTGAACTGGACATACAAACCTGAGTGCACTGAACTGGACATACAAACCTGAGTGCACTGAACTGGACATACAAACCTGAGTGCACTGAACTGGACACACAAACCTGAGTGCACTGAACTGGACATACAAACCTGAGTGCACTGAACTGGACATACAAACCTGAGTGCACTGAACTGGACATACAAACCTGAGTGCACTGAACTGGACATACAAACCTGAGTGCACTGAACTGGACGTACAAACCTGAGTGCACTGAACTGGACACACAAACCTGAGTGCACTGAACTGGACATACAAACCTGAGTGCACTGAACTGGACATACAAACCTGAGTGCACTGAACTGGACATACAAACCTGAGTGCACTGAACTGGACATACAAACCTGAGTGCACTGAACTGGACATACAAACCTGAGTGCACTGAACTGGACATACAAACCTGAGTGCACTGAACTGGACATACCTGGGACAGCAGGTCGGCGGCGACGTGGGAAGGAGAAGCTGTCTCGTCGGCAATGACGAGCACTTCGGAAGGCCCCGCAGGCATGTCGATGGAGACCATGGCCTCACTCGTCTGCAGCGCCATCTTGGCTGCTGTCACGTACTGGTTGCCCGGGCCAAAGATCTTGTCCACCTGCGTAGTGGTGAGTGGTGGTGAGTGGTGGTGAGTGGGCGGTGATGGGTGGTGATGGGGCAAGGGTGGAGAAGGGAGAGGCATGAGAGAGAGAGAGAGAGCAGCAGCAAGGCTTGCTGCTTTCACGTACTGGTTGCCGAGACCAAAGATCTTGTCCACCTGAGGGGTGGTGAGCGGTGATGAGTGGTGATGGGTGGTGATGGGTGGTGATGGGTGGTGATGAGTGGTGATGGGTGGTGATGGGACAAGGGTCGATAAAGGAGAGAGCCGTGAGCCGTGAGGCATGGCTGCTGCTGTCATCTACTGGGCATGAGGAGACGAGCCCTCATGACCACTGACCAGGCGGTATGGGTGATGCCGGGGAAAGGGGAGGAGAGGAGCATGTTGAATGGGACGGAGGGATGTCACAGCCCCAAGCGCCTGAGGCGATTGGGTGTTTCTGTAACCCCAAGCACGATATAGGGCAGAGCGCCAGGCATGGTGGCAGTGACATGGCACAGGCATGGCAGGAGTGAATGGCTTACCTTGGGACAGGTGGCTGTGCCCCATGCCATGGCTGCAACAGCCTGCACCGTGGGAACGACGGTGGCAAGGTGGGGGGGCGGAAAGGTGGGGAGGGGGGGAAGGGAGGGTGTTCTTAGTACTCAGCAGGTGGCTGTGCCTCATGCCATGGCTGCAATAGCCTGCGCCGTGGGAGTGAGCATGGGAAGGCGTGGGAAGGAAGACCTGAGCGACTATTAGATTGACTAAGAAGCGCGGAAAAAGGTGAAGATCACCAAGATTGACCTGAGAAGATCACCGATGTCAGAAAGTTGAGCGGCGCAGAAAAAGGTGAAAACAGAACTCAAGGGCGAGAAGCAACGGACGAAGCGTCTTCCTCTTCCTCTCCCTCTCCCCTCTCGCCCATCAGTAGTCCTCCCTCTCCACGTCCCCGGACTAGCTCATCGCGTTACAAGCACACACACGCACTCACCTGAGCTATGTCTGGATCTCGCACTCACCTGAGCTATGTCTGGATCTCGCACTCACCTGAGCTATGTCTGGATCTCGCACTCACCTGAGCTATGTCTGGATCTCGCACTCACCTGAGCTATGTCTGGATCTCGCACTCACCTGAGCCCCTCCCGCCTTGAGAATGTGAGTGGCGCCGGCCTTCTTGCAGCAGTAGAGCACCTCCTGGATTATAAGATGGGACAAGGAGGAGAGTGCAAGAAGATGATGGGAGTGTGAGTGAGCATGTGTAATCTAATTGTAGGAATGCGAGTAATGCCGGCCGTCTTGCAGTGAACGGTTGCTCGCTGTACAACACCTCCTGGGGTGTGGCGAAGGGGGGGTGAGGAAAACACCACCCCCCTCATGGGTGATGCAGGGTGCAGAGCGGTACATAGTTAAGAGAGTGCGCGTGAGAGCAGAAATTACATCAATACGATGAATCAACGGGCAGGAAAGAGACGTACCGGGCAGATTGAACCATCCGGGCGGGGAGGAGTGGCGACCACCACAGTGGTGCAGCCCGCTATGCCTGCTGGCTGGGATGCGGTGAGAGAGATGGATTGAGGATTCGAGGGGAAAGGGGAAGGGAAGAGGTGGAGAGACTGAGTGAAGTTAAATGGGGAGTGGAGGAGTGGCGAGGCGACCACCACAGTGGTGCAGCCTGCTATGCCTGCCGGCTGGGAGGTGGAGTGGGGGGGCGATGGATCGAGCGGCAAGAGCGAGGGGGGTTGGATGCGACGGAGAGATGGAGCGAAGCTAGAGGGGTTGGGGGAGTGGCGACCACCACAGTGGTGCAGCCTGCTATGCCTGCCGGCTGGGGAGGAAGAAGGAGAAGTGGAATGAGGGGCGGAGGCATGTAGTGAGGAGGGATGGCAACGAAAGGAATGAATTGCCTTGAGTAAAAACCAACGATGCAGCCTGCTATGAACGGTCAGAGAACGGGCTGCAAGGAACGGCTATGATGGCTTGGCTGCAAGCCCGTCAGAGCAAGTGAGAACGGCTGTGCCTGCCGGCTGTGACGGGCGGTGCAGTAGAGCTCAAAAGAGTCGGGCGGCGTCATACTCACACACTTACTTCTCCTCTCAATTGCTTACTCCCTCCCCTGCACTCACCACAGCGAGCATGAGAGCAGTGGAGGGCAGCACAGCGGTACCCCCAGGCACATACAGCCCCACCCGCTCTATGGGCGTCTTTCGAACGCAGAAAATAACATACACTTCACCTCTCCTTCACTCCCGCACTCACCACGGCGAGCATGAGAGCAGTAGAAGGCAGCACAGCAGTACCTCCTGGCACGTACAGCCCCACACGTTCTATGGGCCTCGCCACTCGCCCACACACCACTCCCTGCCGATTGATAGGAGTGAGGGTAGGAGACGTACGGGAAAGGAAGGGTTGTTCGTAAAGTCCTCCCCACTCGCCCACTCCCTCTCTCCTAACCTCCATCTCTCTCACCGCCATTCTCTGTCTGACTTCTCTACCGATCACTCGTCATACCCCTCTCCCACTTCTCCTCTGCTCTCCGCACCTTTCCTTTCTAACTCCCCTCACTCACCGGCATGGTCTCCACTTGGAACGAGCTGGACGGCATCTGTGCCAGGTGGAACTTGTGGATGTTGCTGAACGCCACGTCAAACGCTGCTGCCACGTCAGCAGGCAGCTGAGGGCGTGGGACCGGGCGGGAAAGAGAGTAGAGACGGATCGAGGTGGAGGAGGAGAGGCGGAAAAGGGGAGGAGAGATAGGAGGTCGGGGTGGAACCGGGAAAATGACTTGGGAGGTGATGCTGCAAGCAAGATATCCTTTTACAGGAAACAAACGTAGGTGCATATCAGAGGCATTTTGTGGGACAGGTTCCAGATGTAAAGAGTTTTGAGACGTCTAGAACCTCCCACCCTCTTTCCCCTCCCTTCCCCCCCTTCTAAAATCCCAGTTTGTCGGGCAGGTTCTATGTGTAAAGAGGGGGACAAGTGGGAAAAGAGGGGGATAAGTGGGAAACAGGTGGTAAACGACAGGGAGGGTGCGAAGAATTGGACGAGGGAGGGGTTTGGGCGGAGGATGAGGGTAGCAGTGATGGTTACTAGTTCAGATAGACAGTCACTGACGGTTACCTCTGTTCTGGGTCACAGTCATGCAATGCGTACCTCAGGGTCAGGCAGCTCTGCCACTAATCACCACCTTTGAGTTGGCTTGAAAAATGGGGGTTGCTTAAAAGCAAGGGGGGGGGGTTTGACCGTGGTGCGTACCTCAGGGTCAGGCAGCTCTGCCACTCGGACCACCACTTTTGAGCTGACTAAGAGATTGGGGGTTGACTTGAGCAAGGGGGGGGAGGGGTGGGGAGGGGTGGACTGTGGTGCGTACCTCAGGGTCAGGCAGCTCTGCCACTCGGACCACCACGTCATCCAGTTTGACTCGGTCAAACCTCTCCGTGTACCTGATTGGTGGACGTGGGGAATGGGGATAGAGAGGGGGTAGAGAAGGGGGGAGAAGGAAAAATAGGGGTCTGTCGCGGATTGGGCAGGATGGGGAGGGTTAGAGAGGGATAGATGGGTATAGAAAAACGGCAAATTTTCAGACGAATTTGAAAGCTACGAAACGGGGGAGGGGAAGGTGATGGGTGGTAGGGTGGGTGGAGAGTGGACGGGACGCTGTGAAGAGAAGCAGCTTATTGATTGAGGAAAAGGTGGTGGGATGGGAACGTGGTGGGGAACAGAAGGGTTTGGCACAACCTTATAGGTGATTACAGAAGCCAGCAGAAAATGCGTTACATTGTGTTTTTTGAGTGGCACGCTCAGTACGTACTCTTTAACAGCCTCGTCGCCCCGTTGCCTCACATCCTCCACTATAGGACCCACCTGGAGAGGAAGGAGAGCCGGGGAGAGAGAGAGAGAGAGAGAGAGAGAGAGAGAGAGAGAGAGAGAGAGAGAGAGAGAGAGAGAGAGAGAGAGAGAGAGAGGGGGGGGGGGGGGGGGGGGGGCATGTTTCTAGGATAGCGTGTTGGCCGAACTACCCATGCCTTGTTTGAACCCTATGAACCATATCAATACAGGACTGCTTGAGAGAGAGAGGGGGGGGGGGGAATGGGGCGTGGTATTGGGGGAAGCGGAGGAGCCGGACAGTTAGAAGCTCTGGGAGTAAGGGTATTGTGGGGGAGGGGGTTGAGGTGGGGGGGTGTAAGGGATTGGCGGATTGAGGATGGGGGGGTGAATGGCGCTGAGGTTGCAGGAGGAGGAATTCACGGAGAAAGCATCGGCGGAAGGTTCCTACCGTGCTGAAGATAGAGGTGAAGTCTATGCGCGGCCTGGTGAGCAGCTGCGCCACGTCATCCTCTGCCAGGTCAGCGAGCCGGAACACGCGGAGGCCAGTGGCTGGCGACGAGACCGCAGCGGCTGCTGGCGCGGAAAGCAGGAAAAGCAAACGGTCGAGGGAGACAGCGGGACGAGGGAGGCGGGAAGAGAGGAAGAGGGGTGCGGGGGATAATGGGGAAGGTGGAGAAAGAAAGTCCAAGAGGATTAGAACTCAGGAATCTGCATGCGAAGGAGTTTGTCAAAGTAGTTGTGCGGAAACACGGTTGTGGCGAGCCTGAAGCCTGAAAACTGGACCCTGCGAGTAATGAAAAGCGTCAGGTTGCCGTTTCAAACGTAACCTCCTAATGCAGCCACGTCACGGTAGCTACATCAAACATTCGTGAGCGTGCGTTACGATCTCGAACTGCGTGTAACCCTAACTCTTGGTAACCCGAATTCTAGGTAACCCTGAATGCTCTGCTGTCCCGCAATGCCGGCGAAAGTGACACCAGCGAAGCTACGCATTTATAATCATCCTGCACTCTACAGTAAGAAAGCACAGACCGGTCGTTTGGGACGCCTCCGCCATGCACTTGATCGTGCTGACACTGCTTCGACTTCTCGACATGTTAGCGGCGACAGACGGCAACGATCGGAGGCTAAGCCCGTGCGACCAATCAGCGCGCGAAGATGCGAGAAGATTCGCAGAACGCGACGATCCAGCTGATCCGGCAGACGATGTGAGTGTAGTCGAAACAGCTACGATGCTGGAGGATGATAGGCGAGCCGCAAGTGCCATATCTGGCAGCGCAGCAACTGAGCGCAAGGACAAAAACAGCCGGAGAAGCTAATGGACCTTGGCTTACTCCTGACGACGCTGCTGCTTCCCTGACACCGTCAGAGGCATAGGATACGGTGGAAGTAATGAGCAACGACTATCCGTTCTTTTCGTAAAATCTCCAGTCGTGTAGTTCCTGGGGAGACCCAAATTCCTTGGGATCTCCTCCACAACTGATGTGTGGTGGGGAATAAGAGTTTCTTCGCCTATGGCTGGGAGGGGCAAGCGAACATGACGAAGAATATCGATGCCCAATCCCCTGTGCGCTACACCAGGTGGCGACGTCGTTTGCATGGGGAATCTGTAACATTCAGAAGGAAATGTGTTTCGTACCCGAAGCAACGATATAGGGTGCTTCGCCTGTCGCATCTGAAGCATTTCAACAATGCTTTGCTACAAACATGTAGGTGTATTGAAATCTCGCTTGCGGGCGAAGTGACATTGGAACATTATATTATATACATAAAATAATAAAGGAATATGTCCGACCTAACACTTGACCCTCTTAAAGAGGGACTTTCAAGCAACCACTCCGAATGTTGAGAATCTGCAGTCCGCTGAAATCTCTGTCGTGGAGACATAATCGGCAAGAGGGCCACTTAGGCTAGCCTCTGCGTTTCGGTCTTCAATGTTCAAGGATGTGTGAAACGGCGTCACAGTCAGTTCCAGCTTAGAGGATGCTCGGATTGCGCTACCCAGGAGTCCATTGACCGTGGGAGAAACCTTCACCTTCATCAGCATCACAGACAGGTGCCCTTCACCCGCATCCCCTTCGCCCCGCACGATGCTTGCCCGCACCTCCACCACCATCAACCCCTCAATCTCCACCCTATACTTCACCATGTTCACAGGCCACTCGCTCTCCTCTGCCACTTTGCTAAGAACCAGCCCTCCTGATCCAGTCACCCGCTCACCCACTGCTTCTGGGGGCGAAAGTGGCACGCCATCCAGCTCCAGAAGGGACAACAAACTATTGGCAGTATCTGCGATATTCCTGCTGTTCTCAGCGGTTACCTTGGGTGTTACGGCCATACGAAGGGAATGCAGCCCATCAGCCACCCACACAAACCCGATCTCCCTGATAGCTGCCTGTGCTCCCTCTCTCTCGCCCTCTCGTCCTTCTACTACACCACTCACTTCATCACTAGTGCTTGCAAGAGCAGCCCTCACAACAGCTGCTGTTGCTCTCTTCTCAGCTTCCTTCCTGGCAGCAGCAGCGGCATCGGCAGCAGCTGCTGTTGACATCTGGGCGAAGGTAGGGTTGGATGTCGGGGCGGCAGCATACGCCACGTCACTGGACACCTCCGCCAGGTCAGCACCAGCAGCCTGCGGTGGAGTTTCGCGGAGCTTGATGTTGATGTGCAATCTACGGTCGGAAACGAGGCAGAAAGACGCGTTGAGCAGGCCTTGCGGGGACAGCGGCGGCGGTCTCTCCGCCTTCCGCCGAAGCACAGCTGACGCTGTCCTTGCTGGCTTTCCAAAACGCCGTGCTGATGATGTTGCAAGCGGCAGTGCGCCTGTAGAATCATTACCAGCGGCAGCGGATTCGCCAGGCGTTGCTGTGGCGCGGCTTCCGTCGCACAGCCCACCGAGCCAGCTGAGCGGGAAATACGGCGACATGGCGCGCTGCTCCTTGACATCCCCGCTAAGAGGCGTCCGGTACTCGCCAGAGTGACCCGCGCCGCCGTCTTTCGCGAGCAGGTAGCACTGCACGCCGCTCATGAAGCCGCGGACGTTTACATTGTCGCGTAGCCGGTTGCTGTAACAGGAAAAGTCGGGAAGAGAAGTGTAGGGAGTGCCGCGGAAGATTGAGACGTCTAGAGAGTTTGTTGCAATAGGAAGAAATGGGAAAGCGGCAGTTGAGAAGAGAGCTGATAAACGATAAGAGACTAATTCCGAAAGCAATCTGGATAGTACGAGGGGAAGCACATGCAAGCGCGCACGCGGCGCGAATTTAATCTGCTGATTGAGAATTCAAGATCGAAGCTCACCTGAGGAAGAAGTGGTATTGGAGGCAGCCGGCTGTTCGCTTGCATGCATCGCAGCACTTTTCAAGGGTATCGCCAGCTTCGCCGTCGACGACAGCCACGTGGTTACCAACTTCCTGGACAAACAAACGACATACGCACACATAAACATTAGCATTTCCGTATTAGGCGTGATTAATTATTTAAAAACACGAGCTACGTTTCAACTGCAAACGCAAAGAAACGCGAGAGACCGAAACGTCACGTCTGTGAGTGAGCCACCGTGTTCTCGCACCTGGAAAACCTCGAGATTGACGGGGCCGGATCCTCTGGCGTGGTTCTTGAACTTGCCGCGCTGGCTGAGGAAGAGCCCCTTGAAGTTGCCGACGAGCGCCGCGTGCCGGTGCAGGCTACGCGCGTTCACCCCAGCGTCTTCCAGCCCGCGCAGCTGGCGGCACGTGTCGCAGCCACCGGGGGGGAGATTTGATCCGACGGCGATGAAGGAAAGCTGTGGGTGTATAACGAGTATGGCAATCGCGAGGCTGACGATCCCGCCGCAGATCCGTGGAGAGTATATTGTGCCGCGCACAGCCATTTTAATGACTTCAATTTATGTAAAGAGAAGCTCGAGCACTGAAAGAGGGCCGACGAAAACTTCCCTTGAAAATGAGACAATGCTAGCCTCTTCCTTCGGTGGCGAACAGCGATTCTACTAGCGTGACGCTGAAGCACTCTCGACTGAAAGCAAGAGCTAAACGCCGCTGGCTGGGAACTAGCGCAAATGAATCGCGAGTACTGCGTCGACTCAAATTTCGCGCCTGGCTGCGAATGTACGCGACGAGAGAGTAATCTCGAACCTGACGTTCGGAAAGAGTGAGCTGGTGTGCTCAGCATTTAGGACTCGGTGCTGAAGCATCCTCGACATGGAGCTTGCTTCGCCGCGGCTCGACGGCATGGCAGTTCTTTTGTCCGTTTCCCGGCCTCCCGCTCCTTTCCAGACGAGCGCCAGCCTGGCAGCCAGCACCTCAGGCCGGCACCTGGTTGACTCAGCCAAGATATAGGAGCACAGTATAGCACTGTACGAAGTCTGATGCACAGTAACATCAGTCCGCCTCGCAAGAACTTGTGAAGGCGTGAGGATGGACTAGCGGGATATCATAGTTCTAGCGATTACTGTGTCGTTGTGGCGATTATCGGCACCTGCGGACAATTTACTCACGTGCTCACCCTGCGGTGGCACCACGTTGAGATCAAACCTCGTCACGAACGCTCTTCTCCCTGGGGTCTCCCTGCCTGTACCGAGGGTAATGGCTGCTGAAGATTTTGAGTGTGTGGTGGATTGGAACGGGGGTGGTTATGAGGAATGGCCTGAGGGAAGAGTGAGGTGGTGGTGAGATCATGTAGATTTTACAAGATGCAAGGAGAGTGAGGAAGCGGAGGGGAGTGCAGTACACATTAAAGATTGCAAATCCTCAGTGATGCGGTGCGTAGCGTAAGGCGCGTCGTGGCGCGTATTTATGATAGATGCGAAAAGCTAAGCTTAAACGACGACGAAACTGCTGGTACACCCTCTTTCTCGCCGTTGTGAATTTGGTTATAGTGAAGTCAAGATGGGAAAAGCGCGGTTAACGGTGGTTAAATTAAGTATCAGTACGGTTCAATCAGACAAATCAAAGATAACAAGGTTTTCCACCAGTTCGGCACAGTTCAGTGTAGCGAGAAAGAGGGTGTAGCGTAAATTGTGAATCTTTAATTGGTCGACGAACTTTTAAACTGTCCTGATCTGGGCGTGGAAGAGGACACAAATACAGCTACGAAACAGCTCGACTCAACAAGCTGACGTAAGCCCGACGTGGCTTGCCATGACAGACTGGCGGGTTTGCATCAGCACTGTTTGAAGGATGTGGGTGACAGGGTTCGGGTCGCAGCGTCAGACTCAGAAAACTCGTCGGGAGTTTACAAAGCTGGATAACTACATCTCACTTTTGTACTGCCTAAACTACAACATTTCAGATCAGCCTACGAGCAGGCAAGCCCAACAATATCAAGCTGCATTAGCTGTTAGAGCATCAGAAGCCATACGGTCAGAGCAGAACATTGATAAGACATTACAATTAAAGGACAAATGAACATCACATAACATCTCCTGTAGAATAAACACGTTTGAACTCATCGGACCAATTCCATAAAGCGATGATGACTAGAACCTTAACTGAAAGACTTCAAGCACTACAGCCCACACACCAGAGTTGCCTCTATAGAAACTCATCCCACCGACCCTCTAAACGGCAGTACATCCATGTCACATCATCCCGACAACCATGGCGCCTCCAAGACAACGCCCTCCTCGTCCCACCAGCCCTGAATCCTTCTGGGCAATGTTTCCCTCTTCTCAGCAGCACTTGAGAATCCTTTCGAATATCACCCCTCCTCATCACATCACCCCCTGCATCATCTCAAGCACGTTATCCATGGCCGGTCATCCCAATCCGTCGTCACACACACTTACGCCAAACCCCGCACAGCCTCCGCCTGTTCTGCTCCTCTCGAGTCAACTCAACAGCCATTCAGGGAACTGCTTTCTCATCCCATCACCCCCTGCATCATCTCAAGCACGTTATCCATGGTGGGCCGGTTATCCCAGTCAATCGCCTACTCAACACCCCCGCTCCTCATCCCATCACCCCTTGCATCATCTTAACCACATGATCCATGGTAGGCTGGTCGTCCCAAACCGTCGTCACACACACATTCGCCACTCCCAGCAGCGTCTTCGCCTGATCCTCTCGAGTCAACTCAAAAGTCATTCCGAAACTGCTTTCTCATCACATCACCCCTTGCATCATTTCAACCACGTTGTCCATGGTAGGCCGGTCGTCCCAATCCGTCGTAATACATACTTTCGCCACTCCCAGCAGCGTCTTCGCCTGCTCCTCGCTCCACTGCCCTTGCAATCGCGGGTCCATCACCGCACCCAGATCCACATCGTCCGACCGCACTGCACCGTTCACCACATCGTCGAACTTGGCCTCGAGAACTGAGTGACCCGTGGCGAGCTCGATGAGAAAGATGCCAAAGGCAAATGTGTCACAGTGCTCGTTGAGGTAGCCTGTGTGAAGAGAGAGAACAGAGGGGTAGAAGGTACAGAGAGGAAGAAAACCATATAGGGCGTTGCCAATGAGTGGCCTGTGGCTAGCTCGATGAGGAAAATACCGGAGGCAAATGTGTCGCAGTGCTCGTTCAGGTAGCCTGAGGGGGGGGAAGAGAGGAGGAAGAGAACCACACAGGGGTTAATGTTTATCACTGAGTGCCCTGTGGCGAGCTCGATAAGAAAAAATACCAACGGCAAATGTGTCGCAGTGCTCGTTCAGGAAGCCTGGAAGAGGGGAGAACAGAGGGGTGGAGGAGAACAAGGAAGGGGAAGAGGGAACGAGAGGGTCTTCATCACTGAGTGGCCCGTGGCGAGCTTGATAAGGAAAAAACCACAAGCCAATGTGTCACAGTACTCGCTCAGGTAGCCTGGAGGGGAGAGTGGGTGGCAAGGGGGAGAAACAGCTAAGGGCTTATAGGCTTATGGGCTTACGGGCTTATGGGCTTATAGGCTTATAGGCTTATGGGCTTATGGGCTTATGGGCTTATGGGCTTATGGGCCTATCCCTGAGTGCTCTGCCACAAGCTGAATGAGGATGTTGAATGTGCATCACAGTGGCCTGCGAGGGGTGCGAAGGGTAAGAGAGTTACAAAGGCCAGCTCAACCAGTTGCCACCTGGGTAGGGCCCCTACCCTTCTCACTCCATCTCGCCCCTTCTCTCTCACTATCTCTCCCTTTCCCTATCCCCCAGCGCACCTGACTCAAAGTCATCAGGGTCGATGTACCCGCGTCACCCCATCACTCTCGTCGTCACATGGTCCTTCCACAATTACCAGAAAACACCTGCTTTCCTCCAAAATCCACCCCGCGCGACTCACCTGCCTGATTCCTCTGGTGCTCCCTATTCTTCCCTCCCTCCCTCCCACCGCACCTGACTCGAAGTATTCAGGGTCGATGTATCCCCGTGACCCCATCACACGGGTCGTCACATGGTCGTTATGAGAGGCTCTAAACACCCCCGCTCAACTCGTCAACCACCAACCTGACTCACCTAGTGTATTTCTCTCTTTGACTCTTTCTGCCGACCCCACCGCACCTGACTCGAAGTATTCAGGGTCGATGTACCCCCGTGACCCCATCACTCTCGTCGTCACATGGTCGTGCAAATTCTCCATGACTAGCCAGACACCCGACCAGCCACTCACACCAATCCCCCTCCCAGCACACCTGGCGCGTGACTCCCCTGCTCCTCCCTGTTCTCCCTCCCTCCCATCCCAGCACACCTGACTCAAAGTATTCAGGGTCAATGTACCCGCGTGACCCCATCACTCTCGTCGTCACATGGTCCTTCCAGTTCTCCACTATCCTTGCAAGGCCAAAGTCGGCTACTCGGGGGGACAGGCCCTGGTGTGGGGAGACGGAGGGAGGGAACGAAAGGGGGGGAGTGGGAGGGCGACAGAAGGGGGTGATGGCGGGTTGTTACATGGTCCTTCCTGTTATCCACTATCCTTGCAAGGCCAAAGTCGGCTACTCGGGGGGACAGACCCTGATGAGGAGAGGCGAGGATGGGGAAATGAGGTACAAGGGAGGGAGGGGAAAGGAGGCAGCAGGGAGGGGGAGGAGGGGATGGGGGATGGGGGACAGGAGGAGGGTGGGTGGTCACATGGTCCTTCCAGTTCTCCACTATCCTTGCAAGGCCAAAGTCGGCTACTCGGGGGGACAGACCCTGATGGGGGACAGGAGGAGGGTGGGTGGTCACATGGTCCTTCCAGTTCTCCACTGTCCTTGCAAGGCCAAAGTCGGCTACTCGGGGGGACAGACCCTGATGGGGAGAGGCGAGGACGGGGAAATGAGGTACAAGGGAGGGAGGGGAAAGGAGGCAGCAGGGAGGGGGAGGAGGGGATGGGGGATGGGGGACAGGAGGAGGGTGGGTGGTCACATGGTCCTTCCAGTTCTCCACTATCCTTGCAAGGCCAAAGTCGGCTACTCGGGGGGACAGACCCTGATGGGGGACAGGAGGAGGGTGGGTGGTCACATGGTCCTTCCAGTTCTCCACTATCCTTGCAAGGCCAAAGTCGGCTACTCGGGGGGACAGACCCTGATGGGGGACAGGAGGAGGGTGGGTGGTCACATGGTCCTTCCAGTTCTCCACTATCCTTGCAAGGCCAAAGTCGGCTACTCGGGGGGACAGACCCTGATGGGGGACAGGAGGAGGGTGGGTCGTCACATGGTCCTTCCAGTTCTCCACTATCCTCGCCAGGCCAGAGTCTGCCACTCGCGGGGACAGGCCCTGGGGGGAGGAAGTGCAAGAGGGTGGGAGCAGGGAAAGAGAGGAGGAGCGACGAGAAGGGGAAGGGTGAGCGAGAGGGGTGACTCTGTCCTTCCAGTTCTCCACTATCCTCGCCAGGCCAAAATCCATTTTGTTTGAGAATTCTCAAAATCAACCTCAAACAAAAATGCCCAAAATCCGCCACTCGTGGTGGCAGGCCTTGGGGCACGAGAGGACACGTGAAGCGAGGTTGTTTTTGAGACGTCTCAAAAACAACCTCGCTTCACGTGGTGGCAGGCCTTGGGGCACGAGAGGAAGGAAGGAACACGGAGGCGAACGGGAGAGGAAGGGATGAGGAGGAGAGGGGTGAGAGGGGAGGATTGAAGTTTGCTGTCCTTCCAGTTGTCCACTATCCTCGCCAGCCCAAAGTCTGCCACTCGCAGTGGCAGTACGGTACTCCTTGCTACACATTGTAGTTGCACCCACCTCCGCCAGGAGCACATTCGTTGGGTGCCTTAAAGTGGTGAACATTCTCCTGCCCGCCAGTGGATGACCGCCAGAGCTCTAATTTGTTGTATGGTGCTCTGCGGTGCTCTTTGGTGCACTCACCTCTGCCTGCCAGCAGCACGTTGGGGGCCTTGACGCCATGGAGAACGTACTCCTGTCCGCGGATGAACACGAAGCTGTGCTCTGCGGTGCTCTACGGTGCTCTGAGGTGCTGTACGGTGCTCTGCCGTGCTCTACGGTGCTCTGCGGTGCTCTACGGTGCTCTGCGGTGCTCTACGGTGCTCTAAGGTGCTCCTCACCTCAGCCAGCAGCACGTTAGGGGCCTTGAAGTCGCGGTGAATGTACTCCTGTCCGTGGATGAACGCCAGAGCCTCCGCACACCCATGCAGTGCTGTGGGCCGGGCGGTGCTGTACGGTACACCCGCACTCACCTCAGCCAGCAGCACATTGGGAGCCTTGAAGTCGCGGTGCACGTACTCCTGCTTTTGAGTCGACTCAAAACTCGACTTATCACACACGTACTCCTGCTTTTGAGTCGACTAAAAAACGTTGGGAGCCTTAATGCCGTGGTGAACGCACTCCTGCGTGTGTATTATTAACACGGACCTGCGGTGCTCCACGATGCTCTACGGTGGTGCTGCTCACCTCGGCCAGCAGCACGTTGGGAGCCTTGAAGTCGCGGTGAACGTACTCCTGCCCATGAATGAATGCCAAAGCTCTGCTCTACTTGCTTTGCGTTGCTCTGCGGTGCCCTGCGGTGCAGTATGGTGCTGCTCACCTCGGCCAGCAGCACGTTGGGAGCCTTGAAGTCGCGGTGAACGTACTCCTGCCCGTGAATGAACGCCAAGGCTTCAGCACACCCCATGGCCACTTTCATCCGGTCCTCGTACTTAAACTCCTCCTTGCCCGCTCGTGCTGCAAGAGGGGGAAGATTAGGGGAGGTGGGTGGGTGGTGAAATGCGGTGAGAAGGGGAAAAGCGAGATTGCTCATGTAAGGATGAGGAAGCCACCGCACACCCCATGGCCACCTTCATTCGGTCCTCAAACTTCAACTCCTCCTTGCCCGCGCGTGCTGTCAAACAGGGTAATGCGGGAGAGGGGGGGAGGGAATGTGCCGTGGGTGAATACTGGAGCCTCCGCACACACACCCCATGGCCACCTTCATCCGGTCCTCATACTTAAACTCCTCCTTGCCCGCTCGCACTGCAAAGGGAAGGGGAGAGGAAGCAGGGAACGTATGTGAGAAGCAAGGGGAGAAAACGAGGGGGGAGGTATGTGGGGCCGATGGGTGATTGCCCGTGGATGAAGGAGAGAGCATCGGCACACCCCATGGCCACCTTCATTCGGTTCGGTCCTCGTACTTCAACTTCTCCTTGCTCGCTCGCGCTGCTAGGGGGATGGGGGGGAATGAGTGGGGGAGGAAGAGGGGAACAAGGAAGGGAAATGAGTACACGGAGACACGTCGAGGAGGCTCCCTTCCTGCAGCCTCTCACCTACCTCTCCAGCAGCTCGTGCACGTCCCCACTCTCCTCACTCACAGGGGATTTCGTGATCATGGCCATGCTGTCATCCCATATGCACACAGCCCCATATGCACACAGCCCCATATGCACACATGCACAGGCCAAAGCACCCAGCCCTGAACACGTACCGTCCTCCAGCAGCTCGTGCACGTCTCCACAGGGGATGAACTCGTGGATCATGGCCCTGCTGTCGTCTGATCTGATATGCACCTGCGGCCCCCAGCCAGCCCCTCTGAGGCTCTTCAAACCACCCACCCACAAGCACACACGGCACAGCCACGTACACTCACCCTCCCTCCACCCTCTCACCTCCTTCCGTGCACCCACCATCCTCCAGCAGCTCGTGCACGTCTCCACAGGGGATGAACTCGTGGATCATGGCCATCTGGTCGTCTGATATGCACGCGCCCAGCAGCCTCTGAGGCTCTACACACCGTAGACCCACAACCACACAGCCCCGCACAGCACAGAATTGTCAGCACCATACAGACACACGTACCATCCTCCAGCAGCTCGTGCACGTCCCCACAGGGGATGAATTCATAGATCATGGCCATGCTGTCGTCTGATATGCACGCGCCCAGCAGGCGCAGGATGTTGGGGTGCCGCAGCTTCCCCATCACCATCATCTCTGTCTGAATTGGGGGGTGGGCGGGAGGAGCGGATGGGGTGGAAGGGGAGCAGGATACAAGGTGCATCATCAGCGATTGACACCTTCCCCAGCTTGCGCAGGATGTTGCGGTGCCGCAGCTTGCCCATCACCATCATCTCCGTCTGGATGGGGAAGGATGGGGGGGTGGGGGAAGGATGGGGGGGGTGGGGGAAGGATGGGGGGGGTGGGGGAAGGATGGGGGGGGTGGGGGAAGGATGGGGGGGTGGGGGAAGGATGGGGGGGTGGGGGAAGGATGGGGGGGTGGGGGAAGGCGGGGAACAGTGCGTGGTGCTGCCTGAAAACTATGAGGTGCAAGAACAAGAAACATTTCCTGCAGCGCAGGGGGGGGGGAAGGGGGAAGAAGGGGAGCAGGCAATGCACACTGTGCCCGTTGCAAGGTGCGAGTTCACAGTTGTAGTACGGTGGAAGGTGCAACACCATGAGGGGAGACCTGCCCGCAGCAAGCGCAGGATGGTGGGGTGCCGCAGCCTCTCCATCACCATCATCTCCGTCGGGTTGGGGAAGGATGGGGGGGTGGGTGGGGGGAGCGAAACAGGGGGCAGTGCCATCTGAAAACGGTAAGGTGAGATAAGTTTTGAGAATTCTCAAAACTAATCTCAAACAAAACGGCAAGGTGCATGCAAGGAACAAGGTGCACCAGGATCAGATACTGCAACGAGTTGATTTTTGAGTCGACTCAAAAATCAACAAGGTGCACCAGGATCAGATACTGCAAAGAGTTGATTTTTGAGTCGACTCAAAAATCAACAAGGTGCACCAGGATCAGATACTGCAACGAGTTTATTTTTGAGTCGATTAAAAAATCAACAAGGTGCACCAGGATCAGATACTGCAACGAGTTTATTTTTGAGTCGACTCAAAAATCTACAAGGTGCACCAGGATCAGATACTGCAACGAGTTGATTTTTGAGTCGACTCAAAAATCAACAAGGTGCACCAGGATCAGATACTGCAACGAGTTGATTTTTGAGTCGATTCAAAAATCAACAAGGTGCACCAGGATCAGATACTGCAAAGAGTTGATTTTTGAGTCGACTCAAAAATCAACAAGGTGCACCAGGATCAGATACTGCAACGAGTTGATTTTTGAGTCGACTCAAAAATCTACAAGGTGCACCAGGATCAGATACTGCAACGAGTTGATTTTTGAGTCGACTCAAAAATCAACAAGGTGCACCAGGATCAGATACTGCAACGAGTTGATTTTTGAGTCGATTCAAAAATCAACAAGGTGCACCAGGATCAGATACTGCAAAGAGTTGATTTTTGAGTCGACTCAAAAATCAACAAGGTGCACCAGGATCAGATACTGCAACGAGTTGATTTTTGAGTCGATTAAAAAATCAACAAGGTGCACCAGGATCAGATACTGCAAAGAGTTGAATTTTGAGTCGATTCAAAAATCAACAAGGTGCACCAGGATCAGATACTGCAAAGAGTTTATTTTTGAGTCGACTCAAAAATCAACAAGGTGCAGCAGGATCAGATACTGCAACGCGTTGATTTTTGAGTCGACTCAAAAATCAACAAGGTGCACCAGGATCAGATACTGCAAATAAGGCGCAGGGTGTTGGGGTGCCGCAGCTTCCCCATCACCATCATCTCCGTCTGGTTGGTGGGAAGGGTGGTGGACGTGGGAAGGGGAGTAATTTAGGGTTTCTTTGCAAACTTCAAGGTTCGAGGTGCAACAGCTTCGCCTGCATGCAAGCAGGTGCAGGATGTTGGGTTGCCCGCAGCGCAGCTTTCCCATCACCATCATCTCCGTCTGGATGGTAGAAAGGCGAGGAGGGAGGGATTGAATGCAAGGTGCAGCAAGGAGCACGCTGCTAGGTGGAGGGTGCAACACCATATGGGAGGAGGCCTGCCCCAGCAGGCACAGGATGTTGAGACTGCCGCAGTTTCCCCATCACCATCAACACTCCCAGCACCCGAACCACCCACCATGAGTTGTTCCCTTGCGCTCAGAACCTTAGCAGCGCACATCTTAGTCACCACAGGGATCTCCCCCCCTCGCCCCTCCACCCCACTCTCCCAGCCCAGCAGCCCACCCACCCGCCATGGCATGGCACCAAGGGTAAGAGAGCCATGGGGTGCCCAGAATCTCCCACCATGAGCTGTTCCCTTGCGCTCAGAACCTTTGCAGCGCACATCTTAACAACCACAGGGATCCCCCCTTCCCCCACTCTCAGCAGCCCTTACGTACCATGAGCTGTTCCCTTGCGCTCAGAACCTTTGCAGCGCACATTTTGACCGCCACAGGGATCTCCCCATCAGAAACCGCGCTCAGGTCCACGCCCAGCGACTCTGCAGCCTCCGCACCGCTCTCCACCTTGAGGTACCCCTTGTACACCGCTCCGAACCCCCCTTCACCGAGCTTGTGCTTGAAGTTGTTGGTAGCGGCGCTGAGCTCCGCTTTTGTGTACATGGGGGGCGCGCCGTCCCCCCCCAGGGGCTTTAAGTCCGGGTGGGGCGCCGCGGGCTTTTCCTCTGCGCGGAGGGGAAGTGGGGGCGGGGGGAAGTGAGGGCAAGGGGAAGTGAGGGCCACAAGAAGTGGGGGCGGGGGAGAGTGTGATTAGGTGTCGTCCCCTCCACAGGGGAATTAAGTCCGGTTGGACAGAGGAGCCCTTCTCTGCGCGCGTGGCGCGGTAAGTGGGCGGAGGGGAAGGGGGAGGGGAGGGGGAGCGGACGAGGGCAGTCGGGGAGCGACAGGGAGCAGAGCAGTGGGGTGAAATGTGGACCGGCGGAAGGTAGAGCAAGAGGAGAAAGGCGAGAGATGAGATGATGCATGGCGCTTGGCGTTCCAATATCATGCTGTATTCACTTATCATGTCGATCAACTTCAGTATTAGCAACGCAGCCTTACAATGACAATGAATATGTATACATAAAAGGGATAAAGAATAAGCATTTTTTACAAAATAATGTATACATGAAATGGGTTGAAAAGTATAGCATGATTATAGGGAATGATAACGGGTGGTCGCACTTTTCATGCCGCTGCTGAGGTTCTTCATCATCTTGCCGAAAGACTTCATGGCGCCAACCGCTCCACCGCGACCCGAGCTGAATTTAAGTCGCTTTATAAAATTAAAAGCAAAACCTTGAACCAGAATTGCCCCGATATTTTTTCTGTAATGCACTTGGAGCTGAGCTTTAAGGAATGCAGGGTTTCAGAAATGTGACCTCAAATCGTTTCAGAAACCGTAATGCAGATTGTAACTCCAACGCAGCTTCTGCACTCGCCGCGCGAGACGAGCCGGGTAGGCGCCAGCACGGGAAGCTACTAAGAGAGGAAACAGAGTACTCAATTGTACTGAGGTTAAAATCGTCACTCTAATGAACTGGATTTTGTGGCTCTCTCAAAACTCCAGCCGCGATTGGACTGGGATTGCGGTCAGTGGTCTGGTCACTGATAGATGTGTGGTGCAGTCAGGATGGGGGAAAGAGCTCGGTTTTTCGAGAGGTTGTACACGGTACTTCGTATCAGATTAGGTTAGCCTACGGTTCCAAGCGGTGGCTGCCAAAAAAATAGTGATCACGCTCTGGATGGTGTACACGCCCTGTCATGGATTTCGTTTCTAGGAACCCTGATGCATCGAGTCTCCACGGAAAATTCTCGAAATACCGAATAATCAGGAAAATTCACCAGTCTGACCTCGCTTTTGGCGCATCGATATCTCATTCCGCAAGTCACAAAGTTTGAGTGTTCCGGACCATTAAAATAACGGGTTTTGGGTACCCAGGACTTGATTTGCTGGGCGGATGAGACGGCTGCCCATACAGTAATATCAGGATATTACAGCAATGTACAGCACTCCAAATTGTGAACGTGCATGGCCAGAATCGCTAGCTGGGGCTTTTCCCGCTAAGAGGTGTTCCACGGGCGACACGGTGGCTCTGCTCCTTAGATTGCTTGTTATTAGGACAACATTGTAACTCAATATCATGTATAGCCTCGTCTAAAAAGGAAAAATCAACAATCATCCAACAAGTTCATGGCACAAACGTCTGACAGGCTAATGTTGACTTTTTTCTAATCCGGCTGCACTTTCCCTCGCTTTCTTAAGCTTCCCAACCAATTGGTCCATTTTTGGCCGGTTCGCCCAATCGGTGCACACAGCCAACCGGAAAATTTTAAGCACCAACCTTACATGCTCCTCGGACCATTGCCCGGCAATGGTTTTATCCATCACCACCCTCTTAAGCTTCTCTAGCGGTATTAGGCGCTCCTCTGCTGCCACTCTGATCGCCTTGAAGCCGTTCTCCTCCGCACATTCGCCTGACATGAGCTCTAGAAGGAAGATGCCGAACGCATACGTGTCACAATGGTTGGTGAGAAACCCTGGGGTTGAGGTCGGGGTGGTGAGTAGGGAGGGTGAGGGGAAGGAAGAAAACATTTTTAAAGTCGGTGGAGTGGAGTAAACAGCAGTGATCCTTTGAACAAGAGGGGTAGCACTCACTTGTGGAGAAGTGGCTCGGGTCAGTGTATGTACCCATGAGAGGCCTTGTGACGCACCTCAAAAGCCCTCTTGGCGCACTGAAAAGCCCTCTTGGCGCACTGAAAAGCCCCCTTGGCGCACTGAAAAGCCCTCTTGGCGCACTGAAAACTCAGTGGAGCTTCAAAACTCAGACAAGAGTGGCATCACTCACCAGTGGAGAAGTGATTGGGGTCTGAGAGGCCTTTTGATGCGAGGTGCCTCATAAGCCCTTACCAAGTGCTTCTAAAACTTGACCCCGAATGGCAGCACTCACCAGTGGAGAAGTAATTGGGGTCGATGTAGCCCTGAGAGGCCTTGTGAGGGCTTGTGAGGTGCCACAAAAGCCCTCGTGCCGCACTCAAAAGCCCTTCTCAAGTGCTTCAAAACTCAGACGTGAGTGGCAGCACCAGCACTCACCAGTGGAGAAGTAATTGGGGTCGATGTAGCCCTGAGAGCCACCCACTCGCGTCGTGACATGTGTCTTCCAGTCCTCTACCAGCCGCGCCATTCCAAAGTCCGCCACCTTGGGCACCATGCCCTGGCGCGGGGAAAGAGGGCAGCAGGGGGGCAGGGATGAAGTGGCAGGGATGAAGTGGCAGGAAGGAAGGGGTTGAGGATGGATGGACCCAAGCACGCTAAGGTGCCCCAAGCACGCTAAGGTGCCCCAAGCACGCTAAGGTGCCCCAAAAACGCCTGATTGATCGATCAGTACTCGTCCCACTACAGGTCCATGACCATGTCTTTTGAGGCGCCTCAGAAGGCAGCTAAGGTGCCCCAACACGCCTGATTGACCAGTACTCATCCCACAGTCCTTCTACAGATCCATGAGCATGCCCATTTCAGCCCTCCCTTGCCACACCTACCTCTGCCAGCAGAACATTTGCAGCCTTGAAGTCGCAATGAATGTACCCCTTGCTGTGAATGAACACCAGCGCCTCTCCCACCTGCTCCAAGACCCCCTATCCCTCAATCCCCTTCCACCACACACCACCACACTTCACCGCACAGCACCCTACACCCACCTCTCCCAGCAGCACATTTGCGGATTTAAAGTCCCGATGGATGTACCCCTTGCTGTGGATGAACACCAGCGCCTCCCCCACTTGCTCCGCCAGCACCATCCTGGCCGTCCAGTCAAACGAGTCCTCCCTGTTGCGCACTGCAGGGTGAGGGAAAAGGGAGACACATGGGATACGGAGCACCGGGAGTGGTCCGGCTTGAGTTCAGCTGTCCCACCTCCCCCACCTGCTCCGCCAGCACCATCCTGGCCGTCCAGTCAAACGAGTCCTCCCCGTTGCGCACTGCAGGGTGAGGGAAAAGGGAGACACATGGGATACGGAGCACCGGGAGTGGTCCGGCTTGAGTTCAGCTGTCCCACCTCCCCCACCTGCTCCGCCAGCACCATCCTGGCCGTCCAGTCAAACGAGTCCTCCCCGTTGCGCACTGCAGGGTGAGGGAAAAGGGAGACACATGGGATACGGAGCACCGGGAGTGGTCCGGCTTGAGTTCAGCTGTCCCACCTCCCCCACCTGCTCCGCCAGCACCATCCTGGCCGTCCAGTCAAACGAGTCCTCCCTGTTGCGCACTGCAGGGTGAGGGGGGGGAGAGAGGGAGGGCCGGGAGAGTCCTGAGTCAGAGACATGCCTTCTCTGCTCCGCCCTTGAGGGACCTGGGGGAAGGGAGAGAGTCTGCTTGACTCATGTTTTGGGGAGAGGAAAGGAGAGGGGAGAAGGGAAGAGGTTTCAGTCAAGCGTCAACCTCACCAGCATCCTTACTCCTTAGTCAGCTTAGTCCGCCCTGTAGCGCACTGCAGGTAGGGGGAAAGGGAGGACACAGAGGGGGCGAGGGACGGAGGAAGGGTTGTGAGTCAGTCAGACGCCACGCCTGTGGTCGCAGAGAGAGGGAGAGAGGCTCTACTCTGCTCTGTGCTTCAATCACCTCTTGCCTTCCCCAACCCTCGTGATACACTCACCTCTCTCCAGCAGCAGGTCGACATCTCCGTGCGGCACAAACTCAGACACCATGGCGAGCGTCTCTTTTTCCCAGAATAGCCATGTCTACTTGCATGGTGCTATAAACACTCCCTCACACCCCTCACACCCCTCAAACCCCTCATCACACTCACCTCGCTCCAGCAGCAAGTCACGAATGCGAGGTCCCACGGGTCCTCACTCATCGGGGAAGAGCAGCAAGATAGAGATCCTTATAGCAGTAGGATCAAAGCCTTGTAAAAATCCGTCCACTAAACTGAATGCTCGGCTAAAGAAAAGGCTTGCGCAGGAACTCGTCTCTTGATTAAAACAAGACAAAGACAAACATGTTTCGGCCTATCACGGGGGAAAGACCCGATCAGACCTTCATCAGTGCCGAACTCCTATTCAGTAGCAAGCAAAGCTAACCCCTATATAACAAACAGAGGATAGCCCTAGAAAATAGCCGAGGCAAAGTCTCCAACTACCCTTGGCCCGACAATCTGAAAACTGGCCAATCGTATTCACTCGGGTGAACCCGAAGAGTCCACGTCTGCTTCAAGAGAAATTCGGGGGCGAGTCCTTGGAAGTCTCGCTCGAACAAGTGTTCTCTGTACACTCTTCCCAACCTGCCATGCAACAAATAACTTTTCAATGTAGAAACTGCGTGTAATGAGTCTGCTTTTGAGTCGACTCAAAAGCAGACTCACACCCCTCACACCCCTCATCACACTCACCTCGCTCCAGCAGCAAGTCAACATCCCCATGGGGCACGAATTCTGACACCATGGCGAGAGTCTCTCCCAGCGTCGCCACCCCCAGCAGCCTGAGGATGTACGGATGCTGCACTGCCGTCATCACCATCACCTCCGTCTGCGGGATGGGGGTGTGTGGGAGGATGAGGTAGAGGGGGACAGCACGGGACTGGGCAATGAATCGCCACCCCCAGCAGCCTGAGGATGTACGGATGCTGCACTGCCGTCATCACCATCACCTCCGTCTGCGGGATGGGGGTGTGTGGGAGGATGAGGTAGAGAGGGGGACAGCACGGGACTGGGCAATGAATCGCCACCCCCAGCAGCCTGAGGATGTACGGATGCTGCACTGCCGTCATCACCATCACCTCTGTCTGAGGGATGGGAAGGGGTGGAAAGGGGTGGGTTGGGTGGGGTCGGGTGGGGTGGGGTGAAGCTTGAGTCACCCTGTGAAGCAGGCTTGAGTAGCCACTTCCAGCAGCCTGAGGATGTACGGATGCTGCACCGCCGTCATTACCACCACCTCCGTCTGCAGTAAAGGGTGATGGGAAGGGATGGGATGGGATGGGATTGGGAAGGGGTGGGATGGGATGCGATGGGGGGTTGAGTCACCTCCTGAAGCAGGCTTGAGTAGCCACTTCCAGCAGCCTGACCTGAGGATATACGGATGCTGCACCACCTCACTATCACCGCACAGCACCCACCCACCATGAGCTGCTCCCTGCCGCTGTCCTTGATCCCACTCGTGCACATCTTCACAGCCACTGGGATCCGCCCCCCTCCCCTCAACCACCAGAGCTCTCACTACTCCCACAGCCATGATCCCCTCACCGCACTGCACCACAGCGCTCACCACCCATCAGCACCGCATTGAACTCACCATCAGCTGCTCCCTGCCGCTGTCCTTGATCCCACTTGTGCACATCTTCACAGATACAGCAGTCCGCCCCCCTCTCCCCCACCACCAGCACTCCCACTGCTCCCACAACCATGATCACCTCATCGCACTGCACCATAGCGCTTACCACCGCTCAGCACCGCACAGCACTCACCATGAGCTGCTCCCTGCCGCTGTCCTTGATCCCACTCGTGCACATCTTCACAGCCACTGGCACCAGCACTTCCCCTCCCTCTCCCCCCTCTCCTGCTCCACCCTCTCCCCCACCACCAGCACCCCCGCTATTCCCACTGCTGCCACTCTTCCCATTGCTGCTGCTGCTGCTAATGCCGCCAATGCGGCTACTACCGTCACTCCGCAGGTACCCTTTATAAACAGTCCCGAAGCCCCCTTCGCCGATTTTCTGCGTCCAATTGCTCGTGGCAGCGGTAAGCTCTTCCCGGGTGTAGTGAGGCAGGGCACCGTCCGGCCCCACAGGCTTCATAACCGGATACGCCCCTGCGGATGGCTTCTTCTCTGCAGTAGGGGATGGGAAAGCACAGAGAATACAAGGAGGGACGGAATGAGTCGTAGGTAGGGGCAGCGGCGAGCTCTTTCCGTGTGTAGTGAGGCAGGACTCCGTCTGTCTGGCCCCACGGGCTTCATAACGGGGTACGCCCCTGCGGATGGCTTCTTCTCTGCCATGAGGGACGAGGAAGGACGAAGACGGGGAATAACAGGGTGAGGTGTGGTAGTAGGAGCTACGTCAAGCTCTTCCCGGGTGTAGTGCGGCAGGGCCCCGTCTGGCCCCATGAGCTTCATAACCGGATACGCCCCTGCGGATGGCTTCTTCTCTGCAGTAGGGGATGGGGAAGGACAGAGAATACAAGGAGGGACAGGGTGAGACGTGCTAGGGGCTGTGCCAAGCTCGTCCCACCCCACTGGTGTAGTGCGGCAGGGCTCCGTCCGGCCCCACGGGCTTCATAAGGGGATACGCCCCTGCGGACGGCTTATCACACCGCTCACTCTCACACCACTCACTCCCACGCCATTCACTCTCACACCACTCACTCCCACGCCATTCACTCTCACACCTTTCATTCTCACACCGCTCACGCTCGCACCACTCGCTCTCACGCCACTCCCTCTCACACCGCTCCCCCTCACACCACTCCGCCTCACACTCACTCACACACAGTCACATCGCTCACACAATCATTCACTCGCACTACCACTCTCGCCCACTCACATTCACCAACCAACCCACACACCATTCACTAGCAGCACTCACTCTGTACGAAACACGCAGATTTTTTAGACGTCTCAGAAATCTACTTGTTTCACGTAACTTTCACCAACCCACCCACACACCATTCACTAACAGCACTCACTCTGTACGAACCGTTTGAACGCTCCACGAAACGACATGCCGTCTAAGCACATGAAACGTGAAGCTCGGCACCGGAAAGAACCGGTCAGAACCGTGGCCCTACAAGAAAGGGTCCGCCAGCTCGAAACACGTTCCTGATGTGCCACGTGGCTCCCCTGGCGTCGACCAGCCGCTGAAGCACATGCGTGACCCTGATATCTAGTTTTGAGGCGCCTCAAAACTAGATGCCGGCCGTTAGTGAAATGAGGCTCTGGCTGACCTCGGGAATGACGCGACGGAGATGTCAAGATGGATGCTAAAGCACATGCAATGGGAATGACAGAGAAGCGAACGGCCCCGAACCGAAATCACGATACTGGTTCTCGCTTGCTAACCAGGATGCTTCATCTCCACTCTACTCGCGAAGCAGCGCATACGGCAAACGGATGGAAGCTGAGAAATGTGCTGCAGCTGTTGTGCCGCTGCTTGGTGCTGACGAACGCCTCCCCCGTGCGTGATGTCTACGTCAGGTCAGGAGGATTGACGGGACGAGACGAATTTTTTCACTACACCTACAGTGGCTTGACGGAAAACGTGTCCAGAATTACACCTGCGCACTTTCGTGTGGAGGATGAAATTTGACGACCAATCAACCAACTCAGGGTTCAAACTTCCACCACACATCACGCCCGTCTGGAAGGGTGTGCTTTTAGAGTGCTTCGTTTGTAACACGCGACTAGCATGACTTGTAAGAAATCACATGTTCACCTTTCTCTACGACGAGCCTATCAGAACCAGGTTCACGCAAAGCCTCCCCCATCCCAGCCTCCACAAGTGCTTCCCTCCCACCCTGCCCATACCCCCCCTGAAGCGGTTGTTTACTCGGGAGAAGGATCCTACGGCAGCCATAATCACGGATCTTTGAAATCGACGGCAGATATGATGTGCAGTATCGCAACACTCGAAGTTCTGCAACATTGCTGTAAATCGGCGAAATAGCGCGCATTGGCGGAAATTGCGTTTATCTCAGTTAAATCGACCCGAATTGCTCCCCCCTAGAAACGCGGGCGTTTTTCATAATTGGATGGACCGCCTTTCTCCACGCCCCGCCAACTCGATGTTCCCGCCCTTCCCCTACGAAATTCGGGCAGCAATGTGTACTCGCCTGAAATCACAAACAGTCACGATTTACGATCAAACCACAACATGCGACAGTTTCCAGGTACTTGTGGCATGCCACATCACCTTTCAAACAGCTTCTAGATTTTGTTCATGTTTTAAATCTTATTATATTAAGCTTATTCCACAAAACATATAAAATCAATCTAGACTGAAAATTTAATTTACATTTTTATAACAGAAATCAATAGGCAGATTAGCATTAAACATTTTAAATCAGGAAAAAAAATTACTATATTGATTTCTGTTTTTTAGAATAGAAATATTACCCTCCAATTACCAAGTTTGTGAAAAGACAAATATTTTAATGTAGTGATATATAATTAACAAAACACATATTACTGCTTAAGATCTCATTCAAAATCAATTATCTTTAGATGTTATGCTCAAACTATAAATAATCACAGAATGAATCACAATTTTACTACTAGTGATATATTCTGTGACAAATAAAAATAAACTTAAGATAATACGCTAAATTTTACTGTGCGTTCCCGAACGGCTCCTCGCACAGCCGATCATGCACGGCATTCAACATTGAAGAAACAAAACACACTGCATGCATGTCATTTTGGCGCGCAAAATAAATCACCGGTGTTCCGTCAATTTAGATGTCGCTCGCATGGAATGTTCATACGGTGCGGCCCAGGAAAAACCCGGCCCACATATTGGGATGCACCGGGCGCGGAGACATCGCGAAGAGCGTGGGGCGAAGACGGCCATGTCAGAATATTATCTTATGTTCTCTAGCCTGCAGTGGGGTACTCTATAGCGAGTATAACCCCTTAGGGTTTCGTATATGTATCCCCTTGCTTGCTAGTGCAACCCCTCTTTTGCCTAACTTCTTTCTTGCCTAGCTAGGTTGTTCCTAGCTATGGCTCCTTCCATTACGCACCTATCTTCACATGGTGATCAGAGCAGTATGCTCCAGGCCTGTGGGCCTCACCACAAACCTTCCGCTGCAACTACTCCTCTCCTCTCCGCCGCGCGTCCCGAGGCGCGCGGCGATTTTTCTACCCGCCGTGCGCCCCGAGGCGCGCGGCGTTTCTCTTCCCGCCGTGCGCCCCGAGGCGCGCGGCGGGTTGCTGCCCCGTCACGCCATGCGCCGCACCCGGGAGACGCTGTGACGGGCGACGGGGACCTCCGCGTCGCCCCCCGTCGCCCGTCGTGGCCTCTGTGCGGCCCGTACAGGCAGCGCGCGGCCCGTACGGGCTGCGCCAGACCCACGCGCTGCCCGTACGAGCTGCGCCAGGCTCGCGCGCGGCCCGTACGGGCTGCGCCAGGCCCGCACGCGGTCCGTACGGGCTGCGCCAGGCCGTCGCGCGGCCCGTACGGGAGACGCCCGACCCGCGCGCGGCTCGGGCTGCATGCGCGCGGCCCGGGCGTCCCTACCAGGCCCGTGGTGGGCCCGTTTCCTACCTTCCCTGCCCTACCCCTCCTACTCCCCATTCTCCTACTTTAGGGTTTGGGGGGTGAGGGGTATGAGGGTGCCCTTCCTAAGCACCGCTCCCTGCTCCTCCTCCTCCTCCGTCTCCTTATGCTGCAGCTGCCGCTGAGGGGGGGGGTGGTTGTGGTGGAGCCGATGGAGTGATGCTAAGGGGGGGGTGAAGGGGGAGGAGAGCTAGCGGTGTAGCAGTGGGTGTGTGCCAGGGGGAGTAGGACAGTTTGGGGAAGCTGCATGGAGGTTGCCGTACTGTCGCCAGCAGCACCTGTATTCCGGGGACTTCCCCCGGTAGCCCAGTCGTAGACTTCTACGCCAGCCGCTCGTGGGTCCGTTGCTCGTCTGCCGCTACTTTAGCCGCGGGGCCTGTTACTCCTGTAGTCCGGGCGCTTAGTCCGGTAGCCGCTGTGCCAGTCTGCCTCCTGCTGCCCGTGTGTCTGCAGCTTCAGCCGTCGCCTCCTATCTCCTCTCCCCTCACTCTCTCTCCTCCTCCTCACTTGCCCGTTGTGACTACCACTAGCTTTGCTCATAATTATGAACTCTAAACTATTGCTTCTTGAACTTGTGCTCAGAATGTGTGGTGACATTGTGATCCACCCTGAGCTTGTACTGCTTTGCTTGCTCTGCTGATTACACCCCACTTTGGTTATGGGGGTGTGTCAGAATATTATCTTATGTTCTCTAGCCTGCAGTGGGGTACTCTATAGCGAGTATAACCCCTTAGGGTTTCGTATATGTATCCCCTTGCTTGCTAGTGCAACCCCCTCTTTTGCCTAACTTCTTTCTTGCCTAGCTAGGTTGTTCCTAGCTATGGCTCCTTCCATTACGCACCTATCTTCACAGGCCACCCACAATCCCACCATGTTTGGACTTAACGTGTCCCTGCGTGGCTCAATGAAACCCACCACGCTGCCACTGAAAGCTCCGCGGCCCCCAATCAACCGAAAGAACCCATCTCGTTCTTACGCGCTGATGCATGCGCGACTCGGTACAAAACAAACGCGATAAGTCGGTAACATTGACAAGCGGGGCATCCCGCGCATGCAACCGCGAGTTCGCGACACCAAAGCAGTGCTACTATTGGTTGTGCTATCTCGCAACTTATCGCGAACAAAATTCGCACAATGATAGGTTCAGAGAGTACACGGCGAGATCCTGGTCGGTTAGAGCTGGCGCGATTTGGTAGGCTCCATGTCGGCTGACACTTGTAGCTATTTGAACGAGCCACACAGCGATCGGTGTTTGGTCGATGCGCGATCTGTGAAGAAACAAGGAATGAATGAACTAGCACAAGGTTGGGTACTAGTAGGAAACCCTAGGAAACTGTACCCCATAGTGTCTACCCCACTATAGCCTAGACAAGCTATATAATATGAGTTTGACACACCCCCATAGGCAAAGTGGGGGAGAACAAGAGGTCACAAGACCAGTCAAGCAAAGCAAAGAAGGCTCAGGGTGGATCACAACGTCACCACACAATCCGAGCACAAGAGCAAGGCCAAAAGGCCAATTCACATGCAAGATCATATATAAAGGTAAACAAGCAAGTGTAGGTATAGAAAGATCACAGTACAAGCAAGGTCAAGAAGTGAGCAAGTGAGGCCAAGTAGGCACAAGACATAGGTGCCTATGGACTTCCAGGAAGCCATCTCTGCATCCATGGCTGACTGCCACTGAGAGGAGTAGGGACCCTCGATCGCCTCAACGTACGATCGAAGAGTCGGGATGTGTGGTGCATCCGGATCTCCCTCAGGGGCAATCAGCGTGGACACGAGATGAGGCAAAGCAGCAGCAAAACACTGGAACTCCTCCTGCCTGTCCTCAAGGACGTCCGTGCTAAGAGCACACTCACCCTCGACGGACGGAGGACAGACAGACTCAGACTCAGCAACAAGACTAGCAGCGGAGTCGAGACCACAGCAAGCAGCAAAGTCGACAAGCTCAGCCACTAAGGCAGACGCAGCAGTGGACTCAAAGGAAGGGTTAGTGACAACAGTAGCCAGGAGACGCATGACAATAGGACTGGCAGCACGAAGAGAGTCAGACTCCGGGTCAGCAAGAACAGGAAGAGAGGACTCTGGAGGAGACGGCAATGGGACACGCAGAGGAGCAGTGGAAGGACGCAGTGCCATCTGATGTGTGCCTAGGACCGCAGGACGACGCGGACGCAGAGCACGACGTCTAGTGCGAGCAGCTCGAACAGGCGATGCAGGACGAGACACAGGCTCACGACGCTCAGCAAGACCTCCAGTAGGACCAGTGTAGGGAGAAGGAGCAGGTAGGGGGGAGGCGGGCTGTAACTGTGACTACGACTTAACAGGCGGCGGACACTCTAGGGGAGGAGCAGGACCAGTAGAAGGCGAGAGACCAAGAACCTGCTCAAGGAGCGGAACGAAGTATGGCCGCGGCCGCGCAATGCCTCCAGAACCAGCAGGGACAGCACGAGTACCCCCAGCAGCAGCACCAGCGCCAGCAGTACCCCCAGCTCCAACAGCGCCAACTCCAGCACCCTCAGAAGCACCAGCGCCAGCAGAAACACCAGCGCCATCACCCCCAGCAGCACCAGCTCCAGCAACTCCAAGTCCAGCATCACCAACTCCAACAGGACCGGCAGCTCCAGTACCGCAAGCAGCTCTAGCAGTACCAAATCAAGCAGCCCCAGCAGCACCCCCAGTCCCAGCAGCTCCAGCACCACCAGTACGAGTAC